ACCCTAATTGATTTTTCAAAACTAGGGTTAACTAGGGTTAACCCCAGGGTTAAGTCGCGGCGGCCCAGTGGTCTGCGCGCTTGCCTGGCAACTTTGGGGTCCCGGTTTCGAGTCCCAGTTGAAGCTTTTTCAAAAATTCTTTTTTTGCTAAGTCAAACATCGCCTTTTCTATCATTTTAAGTATACAAAAGAGGCCTGTGAAGCCTAGAGCGGCCTAACCCTAGGCAGAACCAAATCGTCCACATTAACCCCTTTGGGCCCACTGGGGTAACAATTGTTTCGGGCCCATTTAAACCCCCGTGCTATTGTTTTATCCGGACCATTTGGTGTTGAGAAGATGCGCAACGAAGTGCTCTTTCATTTCATATGCGGAAACCGTATCTGGGAACAAGCTTTAACCCTTTCCTGAGCTAACCCTAATTGACTTTTCCAAACTAGGGTTAACCTAGGGTTAACCCCAGGGTTAACCTTCGCTAACCCCAAGTCTCGGCGGCCCAGTGGTCTGCGCGCTTGCCTGGCAACTTTGGGGTCCCGGTTTCGAGTCCCAGTTGAAGCTTTTTCAAAAGTTCTTTTTTTGCTAAGTCAAACATCGCCTTTTCTATCATTTTAAGTATACAAAAGAGGCCTGTGAAGCCTAGAGCGGCCTAACCCTAGGCAGAACCAAATCGTCCACATTAACCCCTTTGGGCCCACTGGGGTAACAATTGTTTCGGGCCCATTTAAACCCCCGTGCTATTGTTTTATCCGGACCATTTGGTGTTGAGAAGATGCGCAACGAAGTGCTCTTTCATTTCATATGCGGAAACCGTATCTGGGAACAAGCTTTAACCCTTTCCTGAGCTAACCCGGTTCCTCAAAGTTGCCACTGAAATGCCATCGAGGCCTGGGTAATGTTAGGGCTAACCCTAGTTTTGAAAAATCAGCTCAGGAAAGTGTAAAATCATCTTCTCAACACGAAATGGTCCGTAAAAAAGAATAACACGGGAGTTTAAATGGACCCGAAACAATTTATACACCAATGGTTTGAAAGGGGTTAAAGTGGAAGATTTGGTTATGTTTAGGGTTAGGCCATTCTAAGTTGCCACACAAGTGCGCAAACCACTAGGCCACCGAGACCTGGGATTAGCGAGGGTTAACAAAAAAAGAATTTTCAAAAAAGCTGCACTATAGCTGTTGCTGAGGGAGTTCCAAGCTATGGTTTCCGCATATGAAATGAAGTCATCATCATCTCAACACAAAATGGTCCGAAAAAAAGAATAACACAGGGATTTAAATGGACCCGAAACAATTGTTACCCCCAATGACCCGGAAGGGGTTAAAGTGAACGATTTGGTTATGCCTAGGGTTAGGCCATTTTAGATTTCACAGGCTTCTTTTGTATACTTTAATTGATAGAAAAGGCTGTGTTTAACTTAGCAAAGTTTGACAAGTTCGAACCTGTGAACTCTAATTTGCCACGCAAGTACTCAAACCACTTAACCACCGATACTTGGGTTAAGCGAGGGTTAACCCAACTGGGACTCGAACCCGGGACCTCAAAGTTACCACGCAAAAAAGAATTTTCAAAAAAAGCTGTACTATAAGTTGCCGAGAGAGTGCGAAAACCACTAGGCCACGGAGACTCTTTAAAAGTTGGGGTTAACCTTAGGGTAAGTTGGGGTTAAAACTATGGTTAAACCTGTGTTACTTTCTTTTTTTAAAAAAAACAATCAATTAGTGTTTGCTCAGACTTTTCAAAAATCTGCAACTAGGACTCGAACCAACGACCTATCAAAGTTGCTGAGAAAGTGCGAAAACCACTAGGCCACGGAGGCCTCTGGGCATGAGTTGGGGTTAACCCTAGCTTTGTTTTTTTCAAAAATCAATTAGGGTTAGCTCGGGAAAGGATTAAAGCCTGTTCAAAAATAGGGTTTCTTCAAACTCGTTTTTTTTTAAGTGCTATGTAGGTGGGAACATGGATATTTCATTATTGAGTTTGTATGGGATTACGTCATCTTGACTCACTCCACTAAAACATTTTATGCAAATGACACTAAAACATTTTATTCAAATGACACTAAAACATTTTATGCAAATGACACTAAAACATTTTATTCAAATGACACTAAAACATTTTATGACGAATGTAGTCAAGGCTATTTTTAGAAATCTTCTTTCTCTCTCCCTTTTGGGGTGTTTGCATGCCTACTTAAGGGTAATTTTTGGTCTAGATTTGGAATTTGATGTCTGAAATTGCATTATCTTTAAGATTTGGTGAGATGATGAGAGAACTAAGGCGGAAGGCTAATTCTAAAAATAGTCGTTTTGTGAAGTGCCAAACTCTAGCGGATGAGTATAACCGGTAGTAGTCTACTTTCATTTTTAGTAGCTCAAAATTTTCATGGTCATTATATATTGAAGTTTTTAGGAGATATTGAGAATTGGTCAGGCTTTCATTCGACATAATTATTGGAAAGCTTTCTCTGGAAAAAGTTGTAGGAGTTGAATTTCGTGTTTTAACATGGGCCGTGGATATTCGCACCCGGGTGGCGAATATCCTCGGCCTTTAACATGGGAAGAGACATACGAAACGTCTCATCTTGCCTAGCTCCGTATAGTCGCAGAGCTATCTCCGATAGGTAGAATTTCTCTATTGATCAGGATGGGGAAGAGATGGCAAATGGCACTGAAGTAATGACGAAATTTTAGTCTGAAGTTTCGAATATCAAGACTCACACAAATAAAACACCGGAAGTTGATTTCAAACGTTTGACCACGGAACTATAATATTTGACCAAGGTGTTTTTGTTCTTGCCAATCTTGGTCAGTCAAAATTTACAGTATTAGCCCACAGAGACAAAAGTCCAATCCGAAATGTGACTCATTATATGACCAAAGTTAGCCCCTTTCCCATGTAATTTCAGAGAGGGAAGTGTGTTTATTTCCATGGACATAGTTATTTTTATTGAAATTTTATATTTAGATGAAAGAATAAATTCAAGTCTGAACAGTGAACTCACTGTGGTATAAGAGTGAGTGAATTTTAATATACACTGATGTATGATACTGATTGTCAATATTTTGCATTGCATAGTTAATTAAAGTGATACTACCCAGTAGTCTTCGAATGAACATAAAATATAATTCTCAAAAATGGTCAATTCATATATATTCATCAGTGAACTTACCTGCTGGTGTCATAAAGTTACAACAGAATCCCTGTACTATCTAGAAAATTGGAAAACTCATAATATTAAGTGTTTTTCAATGTCAATAGTTAATTGCACAGTTTTTTAGATTTATCTGATTATATAGAGATCCTGTTATGTTATTTATGACACCAGGTATATCTACTGATGAATATGTGCTCTTATTGGCCAAGTTTAGATTTTTAGAATTTTATGTTCATTCTGAGACGTAGTATTCTTTTAAGTAAACTAACATTTAAACACACTTCCCACAGTCTACAATACACAGACATTCTAAGAACTACATGAATGATGAATTAAAATACAGGCTATAAGATACAATTGGTTTTATTTAGCAAAACCAATGCAGAGTGACTTGGTTACACAATTTGTCATTGTTGTCAAGAAATTGGAAATTGAGATTAATTCAGCTTTCAAAGTACGGTATTATCTTTGTCCATTACAGGTACGGTACAGTGATAAGTGAAGTGTTTATTTAAAAGTGATACAATAAAGAAGTTAATAAGATGTCTTCACCAGAAGTTGAAAGATTTGATATAACAGAAGATGATATTGAGGCTATTTATGATCCCATGTCTAGAAGATTCAAGCAGAGTAAAGAGCAAGCTAGATATGGTGAGACGAATTACATTTTGGTGCTTAAAATATTCAACCTGACCTGATTTCAAAGCTACAGTCTAGAACTATGCTTATATACAATATAGGGCTGGGCGATATTGGTTCAAGTAAAGAAACATTTCAATCATTTATATAAGCTTGTATCACAATATGTCTTATTTACAGATTTTAAAAACATTTTTTAAATGCAATAAAAAGGAATAAATGCCCAGCTTTTTAAAGCATGTAATATGGTGATAGTACTCGTGTAGAATTTCCAAAACCCGTGTTATTTATCGTGATACCAGTATATCACCCAGGAAAGTATATTAGTTTTTTTCAGAATGCATGTATAAGCTTTTCATGTTTCAGTTATGCCATTTTAAAGCAACTAAAAATTGAAATAGAATATATTGAATAAGATGATAAAATTTAAATGCATCAATGTTTATTTTTCGTCTATCTAGGTATTTGGGCTGATAAAGATAGTGATGATGAAGATGACTTTGTTGGGTTTGGTGCCAGATCACAAAGAAAGAAGAAAGATTTCTCGGCACCTATTAGTTTTATAAGTGGTGGTTTTAAAGGTGAAGCCAAATTGAAAAAAAACAGGGATGATGAGGTATTGTAATTTATTCAAATCATTTGTTTATTTTGAAAAAAAAAAGCACCAACATTTAATCCATGCATTTAAAAACAGTTGTTTCTGCAGTATATTTTTCTTGCGGATAATAGTCTTATGTAATTGAATCCCCTAAAAGTTGAAAAAAAGTTTGATACATATGTATTATGATATGATTTTTACCGTGTTTTTTTATCTTTATTTTCAGGGAGCATACGATAGTGATGATCCTATGATCAAAAGTACCAAAGTCAAGATAAATGTTGTGACTCAAAAACCAACTGGAACACCTCATTATTTAAAAGGCCACAAACCCGATAAGTAAGTATTTTTATTCATTTTTAAAGACCAGTGAATTCAATATCATAATTCAGCCTGTCCAGCGGCCCTTAAATTCCTAAAAAAAACTATTTTTTGTTAGTTTTGCGAAAATTCCCCTTAAATTTGAAATAAAGGCAAAGGCAGAATCCTGAAAAAGCCCTAATTTTTTTATGTCTATTCCTATTTTATTTGTATTTTTACACTAGAGGCTAGAGGTGATCGTTGTACGTGGTCTAAAATATTTACACTATGATTTGTTTTTGTTGTAGAGAATTTGGAGGCTGGGAAAAGCACACCAGGGGTATTGGACAGAAGCTGTTGCAGAAGGTAAGACCGCTATTTAAAAAATATAAAATATACCATTTCATTTTACTAACTGTAAATATGCAAGTTTGCATAGTCAGTTTTGTCATTTGTACATATTAATGCATGCACAAAAATTATGAATATTATATACTTTTCTCATATCAAAAAGGTTATTTTGAGTTGTTAAAATTCACTGCCTCATATGAAACAATTTGGAAAAAGAAATCACTGTCCTTTCTTTTTAATGATAAGGTTCAAAGGGATGGGACCAATCGTACCTTAGTCTCTTAGTGAATTTTTAAGCTAGGCTTATCAGTGATTATGCCGAAATTTAAGCTTTCAAATCCATGTGTGTCCAGAAATATCTACGTTTGATACCCTGTCATATATTAATTAAAAGACATATAGAGAAATAAAAAGTGAAATTCTTAGTGTGAGGAATTTTGTTATTCTAGTATATTCAAGATCCAAATCAATCCCTGAAAATGGCGAATCTGTCTGTAATCAATGATTATGACATTTATTATCAACAAATTAATAATGTATATTTTTAGATGGGTTATCAAGCTGGAATGGGTTTAGGTAAAACAGGACAAGGTATAACTACACCTGTAGAAGCAGTTAAAAGAAAGGGTAAAGGCGCTATAGCATATCATGGTACAGAAAGATCTGAAAGATCACTGAAAGATTATCCCAACACCCACTCGGATGAGGATGAGGAAGAAGAATTTAAGACTAAATTACAACACTGGAAAAGATTACCAGAGGTAGGAATGTGATGTTTGTATAGTACCTCTAAGAAGAGACATGAATTTCTCAAACTTGGCCAATAAGTTTATGTTCATACAGCAACAAGATTAATTGATCTAAGTTGATTTTTCCAAATTTATTCTAGATATGTTGCATTTTCATGATTTTTCTGGTGAGATAGATAGATAGAAGTTAATACTTTAGTTTAATATGTTCCAATCTTGTTTCAGGGTAAAAAGAAAACGAAATATAATTATAAGACAGCACAGGAATTATTGGAATCTGGTGCTGGTAAAAAACGTAAAGTAACAGATAAATCTCAGCTGAGTAAAGTAAAAGTGATAGATATGACAGGAAAAGAACAGAGAGTTTTATCAGGTAATTAGTACAATCCAATCATTACTGTTGGAGCAGGAGGCACACAGCGTATTTCCCTTAAAACCTTGTGTACAAGACGTACTATGTTCAGGCAGGAACAAAGCCAGTGAAGGTCGAAATAGAAAGTGAATTTCTAATTTGAGACCTATTTGAAGAGAAAGTGCAATTTTCAAAAAGTTCTGGTACTTCTGAAGACTGTTTATGTATATTCCTGGCCCAAAATGTTATTCTTAAAATGAAAGTGTTGACAAATAATAATGAGCATTTCTTGATAACCAGCCATAGCTGTCTTCACAAATGATATTTATTATAGGTTACCATGCTATAGCTCATCGTCATGATAGACCAGATGATGATGAAGATATGATAACAGATAAAAATGACATACCACGATCATTTGATATGCCAGAATTATTACATAATCTTAATCTATTAGTTGATATGGCAGAAGAAGATATTATACAGAATGATCGAAAGTAAGATTGATTTTGAACTCTCTCTTCAGTAATATATTTTTTAACGCTTTTCAGATTCTTAGATACGATACTTTTGGGCAATTTTTTGTGCTGATCAGTCAAATTTTTATTGTTAAAGGTGTAATGAATATTTATATTTTTATGATTTCAGTCAGACATTCATGTACACTAAACTGCAATACATTGATATTTTTTGACCATGGAGGGACATAAATTTCAAGATTTTTTTTTTTCAGATTAAAACATAACAAAGATCATCTAGTCAATATGAAATTTGAAAAAGAAAGATTAGATACTATTTGTGAACAAGAAAGAAAACAGAAAGACAGACTACAGATAATATTAGATATTGTTGAAAGGTATAGTTATATTGCACATGACAATACATGTATTATATGTAGCTTTTTTGCATAGTTTTGCATCATTTATTGTGAAACCATTCATTTTCATTATCAAGGACTTTTGTGGATACATTTTTAGATAAACATTAGCTGGGTTTTTTGCTTATAAAAAAAATTGCAAAAACCATGAGAGTTGAGATCTCTTGAATAACAATGATTTAATAGTATACCAAGTAGCATAAATTATGATAATTTATAAATTTACGAGAGAACTTGTGTTAGTCTAAACTGAAGTATTTTTAATGAGACCTGAAAGAAACATGCAAGATAACAATATACTACTGTCTACTAGTTAAACCAAAAGTTTTGACATTGGTATTTGGCAGAATATCTGATTATTTTTTGTTGTATTTTCTATATTTTCAGCTGTGAAAAGAGAACTCAAGTAAACTGTGATAATCCATTAACATTAGATGAATGTGTTGGTATATTTCAATCCTTACAAGATGATTATTATGAAGAATATAAAATTTATGATATGCCTGCACTAGCCATCGCTCTTGTCTTTCCCTTGGTAAGTTTGATGTTGTTTTCAAATTTATTCCGATGAAGTTGGGTTGAATAATTATTTAGAAAATATGAGACTAAAATTATTTGTTGAAATATGCATGGAAAAGGATTATTATAGCTCTGTTGTTATCAGCCAAATTGCAAAAATATAATATTTTCCCAGATGATATGGAAATATGCCTTTGGAAATATCATTAGTCAAGACAACTCCTTTTACTCAGTTTTTCTTTTTCTCTTATGAGAGACGTTCGAAAAGAATAATTGTCAAGGCTGTATGTGCTAGGTATATATTAAGGATTGATTGACAAATACAATACCATATTCAAATAAAAAATAAGGTGCAAAGCAGTATATGTATTTTTTTGTCTTTTCAGATGAAATCATTTTTCTCTATATGGGATCCTTTGAATAATCCAAATTATGGTGTGAATACTGTTCAACAATGGCATATATTACTGAGTGAAGAGGGTCATAATTTTAACGAAGATATCAGTAATATGGATACATATCAACGATTAATTTGGGAGGTCTGGTTACCACATATACGACACTCAATCTTGTAAGTTTTATTTCTGCTTGTCTTAGATCATGTAACATCATGATTAGTTAGGTTAAACTGATGTAAAAAAGATAAAATGACCTCCAGAGTTGTTTTGGAGAGTTCACTAGCTAATAATTGTTTATGGGTATTCTACTAATAAGTTAGAGGTGAAATTTTATTATTTGTACTAATATATGAAGGATACAATTTTGAAATTATTCTCTCCAGAACTATTAATTACCAATACTTACAAATTAGTTGTGGACAAATTTCTATTTAAAATTTATTTTGTAGAAAATGGAATGTTAGGGATAGTTTAGTTATGACAGCTTTAATAGATGTATGGAAACCTATCATACCAAACTGGATATTACAAAATATAATAGATCAGTTGATATTTCCACGATTAATGCAAGAGGTGGAAGATTGGAATCCATTAACAGATACAGTACCAATACATTCCTGGATTCATCCTTGGTTACCTTTAATAGGTAAGATTTACAAGATTTGGATCTTTAATGTTCACAGTCTGAAGCATATTGGGCCTCCGTTTATTGTCTCATCTGAACGACTGACGCTTTTTCCATGTCAGTCCCTCCAACCTTCATCATGGACAGGGGGAAACAGGGTTTAAAATGATACTCACTCTAAGGAAAATTTCTTAAGATAAAACTTAAAACATTTATGGTTTGATTGATATTCTTTTCAGGTAGCAAACTAGAACCATTATATAGACCAATAAGACATAAATTAGAAAATGCTTTAACAAACTGGCACCCTTCAGACTCATCTGCTAAAATCATACTACAGCCTTGGCATAGTGTCTTTAAACAAGGTCATATGGATGCTTTCTTAGTCAAAAATATTCTTCCTAAACTGGGCATGATTCTTCAAGAATTCAATATAAATCCACATCAACAAAATCTAGGTGAGTATTTCTCATCATCTTCATAATGCTCTGGGACTTAACACTTTTTTATGGATCAAAATGGACCATGAAAATTATTAGCTTCTGAAATCTGAAAGTGGTCTTGATTTCATGATTCTTTATGAAGGGTTTCCTTTTTTTGTCATTTCCTTTCGTATGGTATTGTCTGATCATTAGTCCATTGTGATGAAGAACACTGCTGATTGAGCTAAAACAGTACAAAAGTGTTGAGTTATTTAAGAAAAAATTTGAAAATTTATTTGTTTAGGGATTATGGAAATTGATGACTCTCAAAACTTTGGCTCACACCAGGAACCTCCGCATTTATGCATTTATTTCTGTTGTTATATAATGTGATATTTCTGCTTTATTCTGCAATAAATTTGATTGTTTTGTAGATCCATGGAGATGGGTAATGGCTTGGCAAGATTTAATACCAGTACCAAATATGGTGTCCATGATAGATAAAACATTTTTCCCAAAATGGATACAGATTTTATGTACTTGGTTAGCAAATATGCCAAATTTTGAAGAAATCACGAAATGGTATAAAGGATGGAAATCCATTTTCCCAGAAAACTATTTATCTTACCCTAGTATTAAAGGTAAGCTATTATATTTCATTAGGCTAGGAATGTTGTGCGCCTTACATAGAAACCAGCTGGTTAGATTATCCTTACCCATGTACAGTTCAGTTGCCTGGAATGAGAAAAGGTCACCAAACCTTCATATGCTGATTAAGATTAGAATCTATAAACACCATTTGTTCAAAGTAACCAACTGTGTTAGAGCCCATCGTTAAAGATAACTTTTATAAGAGGAAGAAATAATGATGCTGTGGTTTTAACTCAGCTTAAATAACTGTAGAATATGATACCTCTATTTTAGAACACTTCAATAAAGCATTAGAGTTGATGAATCAAGCTGTATCTGGTAATTTTCAACCTGGTGCTAAAGAGAATATGGCTTATTTTACATTAACAGAAAGGAGAACTATAGGAGCTAGTGCTGCACCACCTCAAACTACTAAACCTTCTGCAGTGGTAAGATTTCATTTACTGATACTTTGTGGCCTATTTGTCATTTTCAGACAAGGGGCAGTCGAAGTGAAAAGCTAAGAAAAATTAAGTGTTTCAATCATCTGATTGGTCAATCAGCTAAAATTACTGATTGATTACTGAATTATTATTATTTTTTATCTATCTATCTATATATTCCATTGTATCTGATCTGATTGTAATATCATGTCCTTCAATGAACTAAATTCTAAAAATTGATTTTTTTCAGGGAGACAGCATGAAAGGTGTGACTAGTTTTAGAGAATTGATCGAACAGAAGGTATGTTACACAGGAAATTCCCAATCTTTTTTTGGGCATGATCAAAATAAACATTTTCTTCTTAACATTTATTTGTGTAAAGTCTGACACAAATGAGACTTTTGTCTGAGGAGCCTTTGTTCAGTGACAAATGTCTGTCATATTTGAGTTCAGAAACATTTGTTTAAATTCTTGTGACAAAGGTACATACATCATGTTTACAGAATTGATGATCAGTTGCAGGCGTGTCAAACATAGTGAATGGGTAAATTCTAATATATTACTATTTGATATTTCAGGGAATGACTAAAGGCATAGCGTTAATTCCTATTCCTAACAAATCACGAGAAGGAAAACAGGTCTACAGATTTGGAAATGTTCAAGTATATTTAGATAGAAATGTGGTATTTATGTTAGAGAATGGACAGTGGGTGCCAGTTTCATTACAACATTTACTAGATAACGCAAAATGAAATCAATAAAACTGGACTTTTAAGAATCTTATGATATGCTCAGAGTGTTGTGGTCTGACGAATTTCAGTAAGCCAGAACTGAACAGAAGAAATCTTAAAACCTGTCAAAAAATGATTTAAGAAGAGTGACGAGTGTTTAAATACAGTTTAAAAGAATATGCCACTTGATGCTAGCCATGGTACCATTACATTCACATGAAACTGAACATATTATTATATTGCTTTCATAGTAATTGAATTCTTGATCATTTACAGCAAATAAAAGATCCTGTTTTCCCAAAGCTTAAATTGTTTTAATGGTTATAATTTTAATACATCATGTGTATGTTTACTTTGCTAACTTGTTAAAATGTTGAACAAAGATATTTGTGCACATGTGGATTTAAATTAAACACAATCATGACAAGTCCATATGACATGTTGAAAGATATGCGCATATAAAAACACTACAGTTAGTTTATGAATATTTTATTTTGTACATGATTTACAAGTGTGTAACAAAAACAGAACATTTTGAAACATATAGCACTGATTATACAAATAAATATCTCATTAATAACAAATATTTAACATTTTTTATAAAACTATATTGTATATCTTCACACAGATCGGATTAACTTCTATTAAGTCTTTCATAGACTGTTGTAATTAGAATTGCATCAGAGAACCTTAAAACATCTGCGTTTCTTTATTAATAAATGAAATATATGAAATGAATTTTCCACTCTACACAATAAACAAGTACACTGACACTGAATCAATTACAGCCTAAATATTGAAGGAGGTGGTAATATGGAATTAAATTGGCTTGCACTCTAGATAACACACTAGCAAATGGATTGACCTTAGTAATATTTTTGATATTTTCTTAAAAGAATTATGAAGATCATAAAGAATTGTGATTTCGTAAAAGAATACATAAAGTAAAAATCAAACATTAGCTCTATAAACTTTCCACCTACGGATGCTGAAAGTACAGTAGTCTCACAATTAGAGACTTTGAAAAAAAACAAAATTCAAATAACTTTTGATTTATCAAAACACAATGAACAGAGAAACACAAAATTGAAATTAAATTACAGATATATCTAATCAGCAAGTATTCACACCTGCATACAGACAATTTTTTCTATTACAAAACATTCAACAAACCCTGTATCTTTATAGCAATACAAATCATCTTAAAGTAAAACAAAGCAAAACTATTAGAACTTAAAGGCATTTCTTTTTTTGAATTGTTCATATTTGATAAACAATTGTAAACAAAGTTGTTATATGGAATAAATGCAATTACAGTAATATTTTGATAAAAATTTGAAGATGAGCAAGTGATACAGTTTTCTAAAAATTTGATTCTAATAGTAACTTCAAAGAGCAGAAGGATGTAGACACCATCATTGAACTAAAATCAAATTGGATAGGCTATCATTCTCATTTACAAAATATAAATATATACAGAAGAAAGAAAATAATTGTGAATAAATAAAGAAATAAAACTCTGATCAGACATCTTGGCTTTAGAAAAATATTACCAACCAAACATCAGCCATTAAATAGCTGTTCAAACAACCATTGTTTCATCATTTAACTTTAGTTTAAGGTCTGTGTCTACTATCATGTAGATACAAGTAGTTTGTTAACAACATCCCCCACTCTTCTGTGTTGGTTGTTCATCATCCACTACTATAACACTTCTCCGACTTCCAGCTCCACTTCCTAAACTACTGGATTTTTTACTTGTATTATCGTCCGCTTTAGTTATCATATCTAAAAATAAAAATTCACGAACAAAATAGCAGTCATCACAACACAGTGGACCATGTACAAACTCCAAATATATCTATCATACAACTGAAGGAGCTATATTATTTTCAAGACAAAAGGAGTTCATATCACAGGGGTTAGTATTCATTTTAGGGTTAATGTATAAACCTACCAAAATCAGATAAAATTTGTATATTCAAGAGCATTTACAATGTAATACTCTAAGACCGGTGTCCATGGGTCATACATCAACAAAGAGAGATTTGAGATGAGGGAGTTGAAATACTGGGTTTGCTGATTAGCATGTATCATGTTATTAATTATCAAATGAAAATGTAAAAGAAGACCATAAAAATGTGAACACATAAAAAATTTGTTCCTTACTTTTACTGAGATCTAGAAAAAGCTCTTCTATTCCTCTATTTAGTTTTGCCGATGTGTGAAAATGACGAGCTCCTACAGATGCAGCATACCTGAAAAGATGTTTATATAGGTTGCAGCAATATGTGAATTTGTACATTGAACAGTCAGATGACTGTAAAAAAATATAAGCTTATATATCTTAGTCATAACTAAGTTGGTCATATGATATTGATTAATTTGGTGAGCCATACCATGCCTTGAAATCTCCTTGAAATCTCATTTCAAATGTCCTGCAACACTGAATAGGGTAAAGTCTACTACCATAAGGCTAAAAAAGAATGGAAAATAACCATGTCTTACAGCAAAAATGAGCACTCTTGCTACTCCCCCTTTTCAAGTTAGCGAAATGCCAGAATGTACAAATGGGTGTTAATTTCTTAGATGTCATTCTTGGCCAATAGGCCTCTAAGATAGAGAGCATTTTATCAGGTGATGTATACTTACTCTTCAGCTTCTGCTACAGTAACATGTCTGTCTTTCTCTAAATCTACTTTATTACCAACAATACATAAACATACATCTTGACCTAACATTCTTCTTAATTCTTTCACCCAATTCTTCACCTACAATATTCATTCTACATTTCAAATCTGGGTGAGAAACATTTGAGTTTTTCTAATTTTCTTGAAAACATTACATGATCCATCACATCTTTTTTATCAATATAACTCACATACAGTGAGGAGGTTTTTATAAGGGTTTTTCAAATGATATTGTCTACTGGTACATTTTACACTGATAAATGAGCCTTCTAAGATACAAAACACAATGTTCTGTGCACTAAAAACCCTTAAGTACTAGATGTCAAATTGGCAATGCTTCAAAATCTGGACTTTGCCCAGCTTATTTTTCTCATGTGGATATAAGATTTAATAAACGATCAATGGTTATTACAGGTTAAAGGCAACCATTCATACAATTCTCAGACAAATATCTATGATATACTACATAAAAGTAAATGAAATAAACCTTTTGAAACGAATCTTCATCTGTGATGTCATAGACTAAAATAGCACCATTACTATCTCTATAATATATTGGACCTAATGCATGAAACCTTTCTTGACCTGCGGTATCCTGTAAAAATATATAATTTCATGTATGAAATACTTAATGTGTAGGAAAGGTGGCATTTAAATTTTTATTTTAAAGTAAGTCTATGGATTAGTTAAATATACTGTATCTTGCTTTAGAAGCACATTACAAGGTTTCAAAACTTTTTGATTTCAAGGCTCAGTTAAACTTAAAAAAAATTGAATAAGGTCCTACCCAGATGGAAATATTTACTCTTTTTCCACCAATGTTTAACTTTTTGTTTAAAAATGATGCCTGAAATGAAAAATTCAATAAGAGCATTAATGTAATCTTAAGGCAATAAAAATATAAGACTAAGACAAAGACAGAATTGCTGTACTGTTCAGAGAAAACTGATGGTTTTGTAGTTACTCTTATTGCCTGTATTCACTAGCATACAATTCATTCAATCAAATAGCTGCATTAACAACCCTTTGCAACGCAAGAATTGTGGCTATCACAGCAAGCACATGTATCTGAAGTTTCCCAAATGTAATGTAACTACGAAATGCATAGCAGCTCAATCCCTGTGGTGTAAATCAAGGTCTACTCTATGTAGTATAAGACGAAGTTTAAGTTCATAATAATAGCTTGACAATGACATTGCATTGTGAAGATGGACCTGTAAGCTTACATAATGACACACTTTACATTTTATTTTGTCTTTCAGTCTTACACAAAATAATCAATGTAAATGTGTAAAGATATTAGTTTGAATAAATATATCATTGTCATTACGTATACATACCTGTAAAGTCGTTATATGCTTATCATTAAATTTGTTTTCAACGTATCTCAAAACCAATGACGTTTTTCCAACACATCCTTCCCCGAGAAGTACACACTTAAAATTGTAATTACGCCCACCGACTGATTGCCCAGCCATTGCTAGTGTCAATGTCTAAATTGTTAGATTAAGAGGCCGATCATTTGAGATTGCCAAAAGTTTTCATACAAAAGACGTAGTTATTTAATTTTTGCCTGGTGTTGTTTTCATTCTGCTACAAAAATGGCTTCCTTGTGCAATACGTCATCGGTCACGCGGAAATGATAACCGCTTACATCAACAAATACCACAAATATCTAAATTTGATTACCAAAAATTACAATAGTAAGGTCTTTATTTTTCTTTTAGCTAAAAAAAGATGAAATGTGGCTGTTATGTAAATATTTTCCTGATTGATAGAATCATTCGCGAATTTGAAACTATTTGTTAATGATATAAGCGATAGAATATGACGTCATTATCAAAATACAGCAATATGACTGATGTTCAGAGAAAACTGATGGTTTTGTAGTTTATATTTTACATATATACGGTACAGAATTGTCAACAATGTCAGCTGCTAATCAGGTTCAAATACTTTCATTTGTTTATAAATATTGCTTTGATAACTCTCCTTGTCTAACTCTCGTTTCAGAACTAGATAAGAGTAACTTTTGTGCCCCCCCCCCCCCCCTTTTCTATTTGCCAAATCATATTTTATGTTATAGCGTAGTTATATTGTAATGGATGGTTGTTACCTTATCTATCTGAGTTCAATCTAGCTAATTTGGTCCTTACCATTTGACCACTCTATCATAGTGGTTGAGTTCAGTTTACTGTTTGTAACATGTTATTACTTCTCCATACGGGCCTACAATTAGTCTACACAATATTAGTCTGTAGTGTAGCCCTACAACAACAAGGTCCTTTGTGATTGCCCATGATGATGGCATATTTATCTGATGATGATTTGATAAAATTGACATTCTTAGGGAATGATAGACAACATCTTTATTTCATTCTCCAGGATCAAATAGGAAATTCATTTCCTCCATCTCTCTACAAAATGCCTTGTAAACTACAAAATACGACTTTAAATATTGAAGCTTCCTAACCTGATTTTTTCAGTTTTTTTTACCTCATTTGTTTTTTGTTCAGCAACTTAATGTACATGTATTTCTAAAGATCACTTGTTAAGTTGTTTCAAAACTAAATTCTGGATGGTAGGCAAGAGCCTATTTAGTTAGCCTACAAGCTTAAATAAACGGATAGCTTTGATATGCTAAGTATGTTTTATCAGTTTTGATTTTTTCTACTATCTGAGCCATTTCAAATTTTGATGAAGCCAATTAAAAAAAGTTTTAATTTATCTTGCCTGATTGATCTGTTTGTTTCATACAAGAAAAGCAAACTTACTGTACTAAACTCTAAGACATGTGAATATAGAGGACTTAAACACCCAGTGTTAATAGGAATTTTATTTGCATATCATATTATCCTCAGTCTTTCACCAGTGAAGAATCAAAGGTGCATGTTAGAGGTAAAAATTAGGAAGTTAATTCAAGAATATGTGAAAATCACTACAAGTATCAATCTATCACTATCTTCTAATCATTAGAGTAGGCCTTGTAATAGTTAGTCATTGATAAACTCAATAGTTTAGCTGATTGGGCAAACATTGTACAATGATGACAAATAAAAACGAGGAAAACTTGTAAGCTTATTATTAACACATATGTGGCCAGTATATCACTTCAAATTTGAAATTTAGACATAAGGAACTATGACATATCGCGATATCACAGAAACTGATTGTTATAAATTTGTAATTGTAGATTTTGTATGAAAAGGAGAGTGTGTTTATACATATAAATGTTTCTAATGCCAAAGATAAAGATACTCATATACCTGGAAGAGTATTTCTTATAGCAAAGGTAAGCTATAGCGTTCAACTAGATGAATTACGTCATGTTGTAGGTTATTTTGTAACTTAAGAAGATTGGAAAATATTTGCAGCATTCTGCACCATAGAAGACAAATTGTATTGTATATTGAAAAGTATACAATTTAATGTGACAATTTATCATCACATTTATGTTTTATAGTCTGAAGGAGTATATTTAGAGTGGAAAGCAGAAGATGTGGTATCTTTAGATGGGGCACAGAGTGATCAAGATTGGTCCATGGTTAGTTCTGTTGGGTTTAATAGATCAGATAGAGATGCTGATACAGGTAGGCACATCATTTATTAAAGATTGGAGAGGTTGTCATTAATAAAAGCATCTTATCATCCAAATTGGACAATAAACCAGGCCCCATGTACTAAAGGCAGTGCACATTAAGGATCACTTGACAGTTGAAAATTGATAAAGAGTAGGCTAATGTCTCTGTCCTGGCAAAATTTCCCACAGTTCACACTGCTTGCCTAGTCTGTCAAATGCCAAATTAGTTAAAAGCAGGACTAATAACCCTTTAGTAACTCTGAAAATTTAAAATCTATCTTGTGTTCAAAGAGTTATTGCCCCCTTCTAGCAAAACACGTCCTTGACCCTAATTTTAACCTTAATCCGTATTTCAGTGTCTATGAATGCTAAAATGGATTCCAGAAGAAAGTATAATATAAGTTTTGATCTTCTGGACTTGAAAAGTTTTAAAAGATGTGCACCAAATCATGGATATGCCAACATAATTTTTATTTTAAAAGATGGAACTACATTTCCAGCTTTACATTTTCATACTGGTGGTAGTAAAGCCTTGTTGAAAGAATTTGAAAAATACATCCATATCAGAAGGTACAGTGGAGCCTTTTTTATTGGCACATTTGCGTTCCAGATAAAAACTCAGTCTGTAAAGCTTGAAGAATTTTCATATTATTAAATTTCTATATTTGCAAATTTGCAGTTCAGTTTGAATTCTGCTACTAGAAACACAAAGTTGATACACAGATATTTTAGTTATATTGGCTCTTTGATTTCAGATCTCCAAATGACCAACGTCTCTTTATAGTGATAGAGCATGATCCAGAAATGTTATCAAAATCGTTTGATGAATTACAGTTATTTTCTGATTCTTCTAATGATTTAGTATCTGTAAGTATCTAACACATATTACAATTCAGTCTTTGTTGGAAGTTGAACCTTTTTGACAAGTTAGCAGTCCAATACTATTTTATGCTTTTTGTCAGAAATGTATCCTTACTATATGATTATCATAAACAGCACTGATTGGTAGTTACAATAATGATATTAACAGATCAGATTTTAAAACAGTAATGGACTTCAGACAACAAGCTCCAGAAGCAATTTGATATATCATTTTCCATTCATAAATACTATATTTTTCTTATTTTTTCGACAGAAATTTATCAAAGATCCATACACAGCTACACTGGGAGGTTTTTCTAAAGTGACCAACTTTTTAAGGAATGTATTAATATTAGATGATAACCCTACAGTTAGACCTGATGATGAACTAGCTGATTTACTACATGAAGATATACCTGGTATGGAAATTAGTCACCAAGAACCAGGCTTTGAACTTGTAACTAAGGTAAACAAAGTTTATTTTTCACAATATGAATAATTTTTATTAGAAGCACAATAAAAGTGACTAAATGGAATTTCATCTTCTACAAAGTCAATCTGAATTAATTTCCTTTTGACCGGACATGGTTGCATCTAAATATTCAGCCATAATGTTGTTGAATAGTTTTAAAAAATACTACTGATTGAATAAATGATTAATAAACTTGTACTCTAATGTTTTTATAGACCAAATTACCTACACGTCCTAAAGTGCCCAGAGGTGATCATCTTACACCTGGTCAATGGGGTATACAGATGGATACAGAAGGCAAAATCAAAGATAAAGATGCTTTATTAGAAAGAATATTTCGTGGGGTAAGTGTTAAATATAGTAAAAAAGAATATATATATTGTGAAGGAATTAAGACATTATCCTAAAAACCACTTAATTAAGAAAATTTGGCAATCTCCCTATGGGCTGAATGCTGGACAGGACAATTTCACCGGGTGCATTGGAGCTAATTCTGACCCATACAAAATAAATATTTACTTAGATTAATAAGACAAAGAAATCCTTTAGATATAACATGTTCCAGCAGATACAGATTGTAAATGATTGGTAAAGTTTCGAAATATTTACTAACAACTACCAATAGATTTTTAAATTGTGTCAACTATGTGTCATATTGTTGTTTATTATTTATAGGGAATTGATCCTTCTATAAGAATTGAAGTGTGGAAGTTTTTACTATGTTACTATACCTGGGATTCTAATCATAAAACAAGACAAGAACAGAGGAAACGTAGAGTGTGAGTTAATCTTTATTTGACCAATAGGATATATTTAAAGAATCATATCCACCTTTCAGTGTCTTTTCTTTTGATGTGTTTATCTGGATATAAAAAGAACATTAATTAGTTGCATGTATTGTTTCCTTTTATCATAAAAATCATCTTAAAGGAGTAATGATAATTTTTTGTTGATTGATACAAGTCAGTTTTATTTTCTTTCTGAATATTCAGTGATGATTACTTCCGAATGAAATTACAATGGAAAACTATCAGTGCAGAACAAGAAAGAAGATTTGCCACATTAAGAGAAAGAAAAGCATTAATAGGTAAGTCTAACTGATATCCAAATCAACTGGGATTTGATACTTTTAAAGAATGCATTGGTGTGTACATGAAAACATAGTCTGCATGGTAACATATTTTTATGATAATATATTAAATATTATTAACATTGAAATTATAATAGTGTTTATGCTAAGAATGTGTTTTAATGCACTTTCATGGGCTGAAAAGAATTCTTTAATGTACCTTTTAGTCACAAGCGCATGCATTTTAACTTAATGATATCATATTTTAGATAAAGATGTAACGAGAACAGATAGAACACATACATTCTATATGGGTGAGAAGAATCAGAATCTCTTGGTATTAAACGATATTTTAATGACATACTGTATGTATAACTTTGATTTAGGTAAGTAACAAGATTATAATGAGAACTAATTAATAACAATAAAACAAGAGAGTTATATTATCTATGTATGATATATTATTCCTTCATACTTTAAAGACGAAGGCGATTGCATTAGATTTTCATAGATTGATATTGAAGAGCTATATTTATAATTTGATAGGTTATGTACAAGGGATGAGTGATTTATTATCACCTATATTAGTTATTATGGAAAATGAAGTGGATGCTTTTTGGTGTTTTGCTGGTTTAATGGAAAGATTGGTAATAAATACTACTCTGTTTTTATTTTTTTTAAATAAATTGAACTTGAGCTCTTAGTAGTTTTCAACTTTTGCAGCCAACAAGAGCAAGAAAGAGGTCACAATTGCACAAAATATGGCTTAGAAAATATTCATAAAGAATCCAAAAAGTTGAAGGATGATCACATTTTGCTTTTTTTTCATTTACAGTGTGGAAATTTTGAAATGGATCAAAATGGAATGAAAGTTCAACTATCACAAATACATAAATTAATGCAAGTGTATGATCCTGAACTGTGCCATTATCTAGGTATTTATTTCATCATAGTTTATTACATCCAGGACAAATGTTGGAATTTAAATGAATTGGACTGACTTTTAAGATATTATTATTTAATTAACTGTCATTTTATTTTATCAACAGAGAGCCATGATTCTGGTAACTTTTATTTCTGTTTCCGTTGGATTTTAATTATGTTTAAACGAGAGTTTCACTTTCAAGAAACACAAAGACTATGGGAGGTAAGCATATTTATATCATGGTATCAAAAGAAACAGATTAAGATTTTTGAAAATGAAAAGTCTTTATCTTTTGTGGTGAATAAGAGCTCAACTTAAGTTTTTTTATAGCATAGCAATATGAATTATTTAAATTGCTTAAGATATTAAAGTATCTTATAGTTATAAAACTGTGATTTATTTTTATAGGTTATGTGGACAGATAAACCTTGTAAGAATTTCCATCTAATCATCACTCTGGCTATACTAGATAATGAAAAATCAACTTTAATAGAGAATCAGTTTGGTTTCACAGAAATATTAAAGGTGAGCACTTAGAAGGGGTATTTTGAATTGCTACCAAATGAAAATTTGCAACTTATAGATATCAAACAGTTTTACCTATTCCAAAGCATATATATTACAGGCAGTATGAAATTATGGGATAGTGCCAGTTTTTAGTCGTGTTTGAAGTAAGAATATATCTGAAGAATGTTCAATGTTAACATTTTCCTTCCAGCATATCAATGATATAAGTCTAGCAATACCATTAGAAGACACGCTTAAAAAAGCTGAGGGAATATTCTTACAATTAAAAAACTATAAAAAATTACCAAAACCTGTCAAAGAAATATTAGGATTAGAAGTTTCTCCAGATAGTTCCAACCACACGACGCCATCTACGACTCCAGTTAACCGTGAAAATAGTCCACGACTTGAATTACCTCTGACTAGAAATGGTGGTACTAATTCTGGTAGCGGTACTGCAGCCACTACTCCTGATGATAGCAGTATAGAAATATTATCAGATACTGTTGATTCTATGATTAATCATAATTATCATTAGCTTTCTTATATCACAATTGGTAGACATTTACAATTTATGATTTACAAATCTTATAATGTAGACATTTACAATTAATGGTTTACAAATTGTCATTGAGTAGATTTTGCCGATGAGTGACATTCATATCAAAATTTGACCACATGAAAAGTTGTTTTTTGTGCAAATGGGAGTTAATTTGAAACTATTATACAAATACCTTTAAGGTAAATTACACTGATATTGTGGTTATCTTAAAATGTACATAAAGATTTTAATGTTTTAAATAATATTATCTGGACTATAGGAATAAATTATATTAATTATGACAAAGAAAATCTGGACGCAAATTGTGACTGCTGTTTTGTTAAGCTTAATATATTGTCTTACCGTTTCAAGTCAATGTAAACAATTTTAAAGCACACTTTATTTCAATTAAAAACAGTTTCTAGGGTATAAAGAGTAAGAGTGATATATGAGTGGTTGTGAATATATTATTGATGGATGGTTGGAGTGAAATGACAAAATAATATTTATGTAATGGAATGCTCAGCTAAATAACATACAAAACTTACATTCATTGTCTGAAAAGGACATTTAAGTCAAAACATTTTCTTTCCTGAGGATTTCCTTTTGCAGTTGAAAAGGAATAATTTGACAATAAAGCCAAGAATTTCAGGCTGTGTGGTATTTGATGAACATTTGATTGAAATGTTATATAATACATATTGTATTTATTGTTACAAATTATAAATTATTTATAAAATATAAAATCATATATATATATATATATATATCCACCTATTTTATAGCTTGGTGTCTTTATTATTTTTTGTTTTTGTCTGCTTCTTTAAATCTGGTAGAGACTATTTACACATAAAAATCCAGTTTAATTCTTTAGTTTTTTAGCAAGATTTGGATCACAGAAAATGTGTAATTCTGGTCAATCTCAAAATTAATTTTAAGGTATTCTGGAAAGAAGCTTAATTTGACATGAGTTTTTAATGATAAACTGGAAATCTTTTGTTATAAGTTATGTTCCTAATGAATAGTATTATGACTTAAACCTAATTTTAAAACTTATTATTATTGATACATATTGGTCAAATTATCCAGGACAGGGTTGTCAATTATTATTATCCAAATCATGTTAAAGTAGATTTCTTAGTTTGATTTTACATTCCATTTAAATTATTGGTTGCACTAGTAATTAGAGGCTTAGTATGTCCAATTAGTGGTTTTCCTTTAATATGAAAGACTGAATATAATACATTTGTCTCTAAAACTCTTTCAGGCGACAGGCCATCAAAATCATTTCTGGAGGCCTGTTGAAAGGTTCAAAGTTTCTTTGACTAAACATATTGATTCAAATAATTTGATAAATGAAGTAGCTAGCAAAAGATCTGACTGAAAAAAAAAAACTCAATTGAATTTTATTAGATTATGGAAAATTAACTGTAAAAATAATGGACTGGTAGCAGGGTATATATTCTGCTATTTTATAAAAAACAAAATATCATTTTTTTAAATGTATTTTGTGATTGTAAGACGATTTCTAACCTAAGAGGTTACCCTTTTTTTTATTGGTAATATATTTCTATTTCTGCTTAGCTTTACTTATTTTGTCTCTGAGAATATTATGAGAAGTTATTATAGGTTGTTTGTAATAAGAAATGAAATGATGCTGGCGTCTAATGATTGTGGAAGCAAAAATTTTTAAAAAAAATAGTGTGGTAAACTTGTATTATTTCAATGTAAAATATCTTTTATATCTTGTACATTAAATTCTTTTTAATCCCGATTTTGAACTTTGTTATTCAATATGATTACAGATATTACTGAATACTGTGAATATATCCTTACATACTATCCAGATTCATCTATACCCAAGACAGCTCTTGTATGATATATTATCGTTGTGGAATGCCGATCTATTTCATCCATAAGGTGATATTTTTAAACTCTAATGCAATAATGGCTTTTTGAGTTAACATTTTGAGTTATTCTTAAAGGGATTGTGAAGAGGTTTTCTAAAACTTGTATGGGTATCGGGGGCATTTTTCCATATAACAATTTTAAATCAGACGTCTGTGGTTCCTGCAATTCCACTAAACTAAGTGTTTGATGACGTCACTAATCGCAAAATACGCTTCATCACATAAGGCACTTTGAGATAAGTGACGTCTGATTGAAAATCGGAATGGTGCAAATTGATGTTATCAGTGTCCCAGATGCACATAAACAATTTAGAAGCTTTCTTCGAAGGTTTAGACTTGCGTTGTTCCAATTACACCCGTTTCGATTGAATCAATTGAATGAACTTAAATTGTCTTGGATTTTGCGTAAATGTCGTGTCCAGCTACTTCAAACGAGTCCATCCCTCGTATTCAAGCCAATAAAGATCGAGTTTGCACGTGCAGACACACATAAAACATCACGTGGTATGTATATGAGCATGAAGACGAAGTGGGCCATTATATCGTTGTTACTATTAGTATGTTTGTATGCTGTATCCTTCCGAGACCATATTTTATCTCGGCAATCCAAATATAATGATGTTGACGATGATGAAAATACTCTCAAGTTTATGGTGGGTGAAGATACAAGACGGGAAAGGGACAAAGAAGTTATTCTCCAACATATAAAAGCCGAGTACAAATATTATTATGCTGAAAGGAAACCAACTTCAAAAGATCTGAAACTGGAAGAGCTCCGGAAGGTTTTGTTTCCAATTCATCAATATACGGAGTATGACAGATTTTTCATCAACGTGCCCAAATCACACGAAACTCCCGTGAGCAGACGAATTCCAGATACACGTCCCTATGAATGTAGAAAAATATCGTACACCAACCCAACCTTACCATCAGTGAGTGTTATTATTCCTTTACATGACGAACCTTGGTCCACCTTATTGAGAACATTACACAGTATACTGGAGAGAACATCCGATGAATATCTGGAAGAAATTATTTTAGTTGATGATCAAAGTAACTTGGAATTCCTGAAACGGAATCTTACTATCTATGTTAGGGAACTTTCACCTAAAATACAGATCATAAGATCTGATTACCGTCTTGGTACCATGAAATGTCGCATGTATGGAGCTGCACAAGCTAAAGGACGGGTGGTAATGTTCTTGGACTCCCATACTGAAGTCAACGTAGGATGGCTTGAACCGATTCTGTGGGAAATCTATAAAAATAGAAAAACAATCATACAACCCGCTGTAGACATTATAGATCCAGAGACTTTTAAATATGAAAATTATATGAACAATATGCGGGGTGATTTTGAATGGACGATGGGATTTACGTTTGCTCCCTTACCACCAAGACAATTAGCTGGGAGAAATCCATCCGATCCTATCATTACACCTGCTATTGTGGGCTGTAGTTTTGCTGTTGAGCGGAATTACTTCTTTGAGATTGGAGGTTTAGACAGTGGAATGAAAACGTGGGGAGCAGAAGATGTAGAGTTGGCAATAAGAACATGGTTATGTGGTGGTAATGTCAAGATATTAGAGTGCTCTAGAGTTGGTCACATTTTTAAAAAGGGTCATCCTTTCCATGTGGATTATTCTGAACTATTGTTCAATGAAAGGAGGATAGCTGAACTGTGGTTAGATGATTATAAACATATATTTTATTCTGTACATGAAGGAAGAATAAGCCCCCCTTCCAATTACTCAGATTTCACAGATATGATGGAACTGAAAGAAAGGTTAAAATGTAGAAAGTTTGATTGGTTTTTGAAAACGATATTTCCAGAATTATTAGTTCCACCGAAAAATAGTGTCAGATTTGGTAAAGTGAAAAATGAAGCCAGTTATATGTGTATTGGAATTACAGACTTACCTGATGCAAGTCCTTTAGAAATGAGAGATTGCTGGGGTTATGAATCTAATCAGATAGCGTTGACTAATAATGGTTTACTGATATTAAATGGTCAGTGTATATCAGTATATAATAATTATTTAATATTTAAACCATGTAATATTAGTGAACCAGAATGGTCATATAATAATCAACAGTTAAGATGGTCTAATAATGAGTATTGTGCCATGCAGGTCATTGATCCCGATTCCAGATTTACAGACAGACAAACTGTAATGTTAATGTCATGCAACGCTAATTCTGGTGCCATCAACTTTACAAAATGGACATTTACATACAGTTTAGAAAATTGATTTGTATGTTCTAACATTATGCAAACATAGTTTTTTCTGAAAGTGAAATTTTTGTAATAAAATTGGTTAAAAGGGAAAGAAGTATGTTTCCTTCACAGAGATAAATTTTCAAATTTTCAAACTATATTTAATAAGTTATTATGCTTTGGTGTTTAATACATATGCAAGATTTTCTAACCATGTCACATTGAACTTTGACTTCCTTGAATTTTTGTAAAATTATAACACAATGGAGAGAAATTAGTTTACATAAAACTATCATAGTTTTACTTATCTTTCAGATTACCAATGGTAATTTATCTGCAAACCTGTCGTATTCCTGCAAATTTCTTATCCCTGCTAACCTTTCTTATCCCTGTAACAATTGAGTTACACTAGATGATTCGTGATACATGTATATCAAAATGTAAATGAAAGCAATACTGTACCTAAAAATTGAAAGCAGGGATGTTGCCTCCTTAAAGCAGAGCAGATATTTTATCTGCAATATGTTCACTAAATTAGTCTTATCTATAAACAAGGAAGCTAAACACAGAAATACCCAATAAAAAGTTAAATGATTTAATATGCAGTTAAAATACAGTAACATTCACCAATATTAAAAATATTCAAAATAATATCACAGTTTCACAAAAATATATTTAATGTCACTTTATACTATATTAGATAAATTGTATCCAAGTGCTCACATTCAAATTATTATTTTGTTCTATTCATTCTGGAGTTATCTAGGAAGTAAATGCCTCAGAAGTTTCCAGAATTGTGTAATGTTTTCCATCTTGGAAGCACATCAATAATGTTCCTTTGATGTTCCAGCATAAGTTAGAGTTACTTCTGTTTAAGTATAAACATTAAAACAATGAAAAAAGCAGCAAATACTGTAATCAAAATTGATTTACTAACTTCAAAGCAGCAAATACTGTAATCAAAATTGATTTACTAACTTCAAAGCAGCAAAAACTGTTATCAAAATTGATTTACTAGCTTAATATACTGTAATCAAAATTGAAGGACAGAACTTAAAAAGCTTCACTGCATTACAATATATCATTTCATCTTAGAATAAAAATGTTTTCAATGCTCTGTTGTCTTTAACTTGAACTTATTGTTTTCACTGTCTTATACAGTTCTTTGCAATTCTGTGAAAGACTATCCAAATGTGGCCAGTTACATCCCATAACAACTACTAAACACTTCATCTAAAGTAATAAAAGAAATATATTTTAAAACAAGAATCTTCAATTTTTGCTGTACTTCTATCTGATTAAAAATGAATAATAATACAAATACTACAACTTGGTCTCACATAATTTAATGGAGGTTACTTTTCTGCTATGTTGTCTTGGTTGTCGATTTATGTCACCGAATAGAGTCTTGTCAAGAGTTTCATCGATCGTCTGGGGGCACACGATGAGACAAAAATCTCCAGTCGGTCGTTTTCCACTATGTCAATAATCATGTGCGGATCTGATTGGATGATGAAGTTCTATTTTGCAGACGATAAAATTATTGGAGACAATTATCAAAAAACTTGTTATAAATCTTATTATAAATCCTATGCAACGAAATAATCTTGTCGTGGAAGCACAGGCACATACAAGATTTTGCTCAAGATTCGGGTCGTTAACAAAATCGACGTTGCCCATAAACAGTATAAGAGGGTTATCTATGCATATACTTTTAGGATCAAAATATTTGGTATCAAATAGATTTAAAACACTGAATACAAACCTGTCCATTTCTTTTAATGATTTGAATTAAAGATGATAACAAACAAATGGCTGAAACAGAAAATCAAAGTACATGCAGTTGTCATCTTGATGACGTTCGAGCCTCATAAATTATTATGGCAGATGTCAATCGATGTGAACAGTAAAATTATAGAATAGTCTGTTATCACAGTAAGCTAAATAAAATAATAATACCTGTATCATTGTCTATGTTTTGTTGTTCTAAGGCTGAAGTTAGAGCACTACCTATTTCAATATCTACATCATCATCTTTCTACAAAATACATAATATTGTTTCATGGATTAATGTTCTAGAAAATGCACTGCTCCAAAATTCAACCAGAGCATTTGAGATGTAAAATGTATGCGAGCGAATACAGTTAATCAGAGTCCCCAACATATAGACTGTAAACAATGATCTATATACCAAAAACATAATTCCACTATGATCTATATACCAAAAACATAACTCCACTATGATCTATATACCATAAACATAACTCCACTATGATCTGTATACTAAAAACATAACTCCACTATGATCTATATACCAAAAACATAACTCCACTATGATCTATATACCAAAAACTTAACTCCGCTATGATCTATATACCAAAAACATAACTCCACTATGATCTGTATACCAAAAACATAACTCCACTATGATCTATATACCAAAAACATAACTCCACTATGATCTATATACCAAAAACATAACTCCACTATGATCTATATACCAAAAACATAACTCCACTATGATCTATATACCAAAAACATAACTCCACTATGATCTGTATACCAAAAACATAACTCCACTATGATCTATATACCGAATACATAACTCCACTATGATATATATACCAAAAAAAATCTATTTCATTTTCAAAAGCAAAACAAGCCTGCTGCATTTGTTACCTCTGGGAAACATGGAAAATAAAAAGCTGATACTTGCCTGTGCTGTCGTAATATTAAATGCTAATTTAGCATAAAGTAATTTAGCTTGTGAATCCTGACTGTCTTCTAATAGTCCAGTACAACATATCTTTATACATTGGCTGTTTAATATCTCATCTTTCTTTTCTCCAAATAACATATTATACATTAATCTACTACCATTTAGATTTATTATCTGAAATAAAGAATAAAAAAATAAAATATTCACTGTATATATCCGTATCTGCTTGAGCCATCAAGCATCTTCATAATGTCAAGCTATTGACTGCAAAAGTCGCACAGAAGTACGTAAATGTCGCAATTTTGAAAATAAAAAATTATCCATTCATCTACTAATAAATTTACCGGAATCTCTGAAATTGAAGCCAAATTTACAATAACTATGTGAAATCAGAGTTCTGAAGGAGAATGTCATGCCTAGCTAGTCACACCCACCAAAGTCGCTATTATCTAGTACTTACTATAGGTAATAAATGTACTTTATGTTGTAATGTAGATTTATCAAATAATGATAAAATATTATGTAAGATATTAACTGATGTATGTATTATAACTGGTAAAACATCATCTATCAATAATAAATTCTGTAATACTTCACAAGTTGATTTCCATATCAAATCTTTTACTTTTATTTCTTTACTGCATAATATTTTACCTGGAATATATTAATCTTACAAGTTTTAACAAGCACTTAGAGATTTTTCAAAATTACTTTACCAGAAGTAAAAAGTTTGACACTAATAGCATGCATTTGCACCAGTCGGACATCTTTGGTTCTTGCAATTCCACTAAAATTAAGCATTTTATGACTTGGTTCTTCCAAAGACTATTAAATATCATAAGGAGATTTTGCAATGACATCATATACTATGTTTACAGGAACCATAGTGACAGTGATACACACAAAAAAGATAGAAAACCTTTTTACCTTGCCTTTAATATACATTCTAAGCTTATGGTAAATAGTTTGGCACCTTTGTGCTGGAAGAATTTGAAAGAATTTTATTATACAGAAGGCTTGGAGTAGCTCCAAGAATCCAGACATAAGTAGAAGTGTAAGACTTGACGTATACGGCATACATACTACATACATGTACTTAAAAAAATCTCTTTTTGAAAAACTTACCAATAACATAAATATGATTTTTACTTAATGACCATGATGGGTTTGAAGTTTGCAGATATTCAAGCGCTTCATTCCATAGATTTAAATCACCAAGAGAAAAGGCAGACTTAATACTTCCTTGTATCTCATCTCCTTTCAATACTGGAAACTTCTATATAAAAATACAACGTAACTAATGTCATTTTATAGAAAAATTGAAATTAATAAACCCATACGCTGTATAATTCTTAAAGGGATTGTAAAGATGTTTTTTGGACACTGATGGCATCAATTTGCACCATTTCAATTTTGTGATCCTTGCTATTCCACTAAAACTTAAGTTGATGTATAGTTAATTCACTTGTTCAAAGATATTGATGCTCATGTTAATTCAGACTGTCCCTAAAACAAAAGTTGCCTGTAACCTTTAAATCTTACAATATTTTTTGATATATTGTTGATACTTACAATATCAGCTTTAGTTGTTACAGGTTTGTGTGAATTATGCTGCACAGGTGGTTGAGAAGGTGATTGTATGTTGGTGAGTGGTGATGTCTGTGGTGAGGCTGGTGGTATCTGAACCGGTCTTGAAGGTGGTACAGTAGAAGTGGTATTTCCAGGTGGTTCAGAAGGAAATACTGAATGACCACCACTTGGTTGTATATTCATTGAATCTATCAAAGGTTTGATCATGGCACCCATAGGCCTGAAAAAAAACACAAATAACAATGAACAGTAAGAGTCCTTACACAATTTATCCTCCATTGATTCAATCTTTTTCAATATCTAAGATAATTTTGTGTCTTCTTAAATGTTCTAGAATCAAATGAAGCCTCAAACCTCAAGTTGTTATGAGTAATTTATTTGTAATTTGCAATAATTATTGCAGTTTGTATGGTCAAGTCGGTTATCATCTTGTGAAGTTACCCCAAATGAGGCAATTGGGCTTTAAAATGGCATCTTAGTAATAAAATCTTCAACAAAGCTACCTACGTATTTAAAACTTCACGAGGAAGACCAGTTATATGAGATGGAATACTTTTCCCAGTTAGAAACTGGCACACCTCGTCACTAAAATTATTACAATTATGTTCTAATAAGTTATAGTCTTGAGGTCTGTAAAATAAAATAATTTCAAAGGGGATTAAGATATTATATAATCAATTAAGGGTGTTATTAAATTGGACCTACCAGTAAATGATTTTTGCACTCATGAAAGTAACTTTTCACCACCAACTTTGATTCAATCTTAAAAAAATTTTTGCATACAGAAATCATATAATATCCTCAACAATAGAATCCATGCTTTCTACTCTGTAATGAAAAACTTAAACCATATGCTGGTTTTTTGACTTAGCTTTAATTCCATATCCACACTAAATTAGACTATTAATGTATTATAAATTTTCTTACTTAAAGTTGGAGGTTGCCAGTTGTGATAAATATTCTAGAAACATTTCTTTAGGTATTTGTGTTGTACCCATATCAATTATGGTATCTGGTTCACCCAATATTGTTCCACACTGAAAAAATACAATTTTAAATTAAATTTGACAAATGTCTGATCTTTTTGTCATATTTAAGCTAAGCCTAGTTCAAGAAAGATATCGCTGGTTTTATGTCATTGTTAGCTGTATAAGGAGGAGGTTAAACTTGATCTGAAAACTATCTTTTCATTATTAGCCACATCAGAAACAAACAACAAGAGTAGATTGATGTTTTAAAATTGTCATTTGATATGAATACAAGCAGTTGTTGTAGTAATTTACTGAAAAACACGAAAGCCTATCTTATGGTCATAGTTTGAAGGTAAACTGACCATCTGATAATCAAATATTTAGACAACTTAATATTTGAACTGACCAACAGACATAACATATAAGCTGACAACCAAACACTTACTGGAGGGCAACTTTCAATTCCTCCTGTTCCTCCAAAATAGTACTCCTCTCCATAAACAACAGTTCCAGTGTGCCACACACCATCGATCTGTTTTCCTAAACAAAAATAAAACATAAAATATTTACATACCTACCATAAAAACAATATTATTGCTAGACTGAATAAAATGGATTAAAAATATAAATGACATACATAGTTCTAGGCTTTCTGAAAGTAATGACAATTCTTACATTATAAAAGTTTATTTATTAGATCTACCATACAATATTTAGGCCTACTGTTTTTTTTAGCCTTGTTGAAGCCAGTCTGTAGCCTAAGGTAGGCTCACCTTTAGGCCTACCCTAGACCCTAGTACCAGTATAAAGCTATTATTGATTAGCCTACTTAGCCTCAGTTTGTTGCTAGTTTCAAGAGAAGATAAATGTTTACAGTTTTGATTATTCCATTTGTCTACATAAGCAACTTTTTCTTAGTAGATTAAGAATTAACAGACAATTGATTTGATTTTTGAAGACGATTTTTGGCCCTACGTCTAAGTCATAAACCAAGGTCTAAATTAGTAAATTGAATAAAAATGATAAATAATTTTAATTTTCTAGGATAAATTTCCTACATACCTAAAAATGCCATTGACATTGACTTTGCTAACCCCTTGGTTAGATCATAAACATAGAGTTTTACTGGGAAAGAACCACTGTCATTCATTTTGTCTATTTTGCTGGAACCAGTGTCAGTGTAATGTTTTCATAATAATCGCATCATGAGAATGCAGAAAAATTGACCACTATGAAGGTTGTTGATAATCAATACATTTTATAACCTTGGATGTCAACATATACAAAATCTAGCTTTAATGGTTACCCAAACAATGTCAATCCTAAACTAATCGAAATATTAAAATAAAGATTCATAAGTACTGCAATATTAAAAACAATTTTATAAAAACAAATCTTGATTGTGACAGTTATATGGATGTAGCCAAGATTTGTGATGTAGATTTTATTAACTCTTTAGAAAATTGACCTAAGGCGTTTTTAACGTTAATGTTTTAGACTTCTAGGAGAAATGCCATGAGCCAAAAACAGCAATAATGAATCTAAATCAGCTGTCCAAAATTGTATGAACAGAAAATACTAATCGAAATACAAAGATGAAAAGTGCAAACAAACAGCGCGTAAATCTACCATTACTGCAAGATAAGATTGGAAAATTTATCGAAGAAAACGCCTTATTAGTGCTGGTCTGTTTAAAATACGCGTTCATGTTTTGATCATAATTCGCAATTCACATTAAGGCGTTTGTAGCTTTGATATTTATCTCGCGCAATATATTCATACTTACGACCGGTGACGGCTACGTTTAGGGTTGGGGAGGGATATAAATGGCCCAATAAACACCTAACCGAAAATTGGAAAGAACAAATGTAAGGAAAAAGTCATTAGCCTATAAAATTTTATCGAAAAATTAATACATCATAAAAACGCCTTTTTTAACCACGAGTTAGCACCCTTGAAATAAATTTATTCCTATCCATGCATCCGTATTTTGTATGTTGATCATTCAAGATGGCTGACAATATTTGTCGGCTGCTATATTGAGAAGAAAATCGGATTAATTACGTTTCATATAAAAGTATTCTTGAAAACTGACCAGCAGTTATTTTGTCCGTAAATGGTAGAAATAGCTATACATCCAGAATAGCCGATTACTCGTGTGAACTTTGTCTCAAAACTAGTTCAAAATAACTCAGTCATATTTCTTCATTTTTCAGCACAAATTTACATAAGTTACATTTGACTGGTAATAAGAAAATGTGTTCATAAATTGAACCAGTTGTATAATCCTGTGATATTTTTCATTTATTAGTAGTATAAAACTACTATATAGTTACAGTAAGATGTGATAGTAATTGATGTGCCCTGAAGTTTATATTGGACTCTAGACTCTAGCTAGTGCATATGACAGTTAGTAGATCCATTACTGAATTAGGTCTAGGCTAGGCCTATTCAGGTTTGTTAAGGATTAACCCAATTGAGTTTCCACTATGATTGACACAAAAACGTTAATTTGTAGATTTGTCAAAATATGGACAAATCTTTTATTTGCTCTAGCCTAAGCAAAAGATCTATCCATTCATAAATTGAGCTTGAATTACTAATACAATACAGGAAGTAAAAATGGGATGTTGTTTAACAACTTGTAATAAGAAAGAAGATGACCATTATCAACCTAATACTGAAAGCAGTCCTCTCTCCTCAAGAGATGGTAGGAGGAGATCTTCTTATGGTCATCAATCACCACAAAGATCCACCAATGGATATTCACAACGACGGAGATTAGGAAGTAGCCATAGTAGAGACAATCCTCAACGTAGTATAGATTCTCTTGTGTTAGAAACACTGTCTTTAATAAGAACATTGGTTGACAATGATCAAGAACCCCCACAGGCCATGTTAGCTCTGCACAAAATTGCTGAGAAAGATTCTGGCTGGCTTGAAGTTGTGAAATCACTAATCCGTGGTATTCCATTAACAGATCCACTTGGACCAGCAGTTATTACATTATTATTGGACGAGTTCCCGTTACCAACAAAGGAAGCATTAATGGAACTGAGATCAAATCTTCATTTATCACAGGAAGGCATATCTAATATGTATAAACAACCGTGTCAGCAAAGAAATATTGGAGTTATTCTTGGTTGCTTAGCGGAAAAATTAGCTGGCCCTAATAGTGTATCTTTATTATCATCAGATGTTTTACAATATTTAATTTCTAATCTTAGTGTTAATAACCATCCTGTTGTTATCCTTCATTCAATGGTGGCATTGGAGAAGTTTGCTCAAACTAGTGAAAATAAAGTGACCATTAATCAGAGTTTGGGTGAAATGAAAACTAATCCTCTAGTTTCATTAGAAGCATGGTCTAGTTCTGATGAATATGCCAAGCGTGAAGTTGCCTTTTGTGCAAGATGGTGCCTCGATAATCTTTTTATGATACAGGGCCGTCCATTCACCTACGAACAGTTAGTTCATGATAATATAAATGTTATGTTAAATAGTAATGATGTTAGTGAATATCTCAAAATATCAGCCAATGGGTTAGAGGCAAGATGTGATGCTTCATCCTTTGAAAGTGTGAGATGTACATTTCAAGTTGATTCAGGAATTTGGTATTATGAGGTTACAATTATTACTGCTGGTGTCATGCAAATTGGATGGGCAACTAAAAACAGTAAATTCCTTAATCATGAAGGATTTGGTATAGGTGATGATGAATTCTCAATGGCTTATGATGGATGTCGTCAACTAATATGGTATAATGCTCACAGTGAACCTCATACACATCGCTGCTGGCAGCCTGGAGATACTCTTGGGTTATTATTAGATTTAGAAAATCACCAATTAGTTTTCTATTTAAATGGAGATCCTCTTCCTCCTTATTGCCAAGTCTTTTCGTGTACAAGAACTGGTTTCTTTGCTGCTGCCAGTTTTATGTCTTTCCAACAATGTGAATTCAACTTTGGAGCTAAACCTTTCAAATATCCACCTAAATTCAAATTTGAGAAATTCAATGATAAGGGAACTCTTACTGAAGAAGAAAAGGTTATTCTTCCTCGACATAAAAAATTAGACTTATTAAAACAAGTTTTAGTCAAGGAGGACTCATGTACATTGTGTTTTGATAAACAAGCAAATATGGAACTACATCCATGTGGACATAATGGTTTTTGTGATGTTTGTAGTCTTCAATTAGAAACTTGTCCTATCTGTAGGAAGCCAATAATTGAAAGAAGGGAACTGAGTATAAGATCAACCAACAGCTCAACTAGTTCACCTAGTCCAGAGCCTCATACATTTGATAGACCAAGTTAACAGATATCACTTGTGTCTTTTATACACTTTTTCTTATATAAATGAAGATGTATATATTGTTGATTGTTAGCACCCATATTTCTGTCAGACCATATTTCTCAATGTTAGATTAATACCGGTTAATATCCAATGTAAAAACTGCTCGTTCTAGATAGGTTCTCATCCTCATTGATAAACAAACACTTTAAAAACACTGTGCCTTGCAAAATTTAGGTCCTTAATTTGGAAATTTGAGTAAATTATTGTTGGTGTAGGGAAGGCCAAAAACTAAAATAGTTGACACTAGAAACCATTATGCAGATTAAAATGGAGTCCTGATAGTTCCACATATGGAAGAATTCCGAAAGATGTGTCTGTAATTCTTGACAGTTTATTATATATATCAGGTATATTTATGAATAATCTTCATAGGCATACAAGGTCATAAATTTAAGGGGGAGACAAAAGAAGTCCTTTCTCTTATATTATGGGTATGGGGTCTGAAAATACATTGATTCTGGCCCCAATCTTAAATCAATGACTATTTAGATACATGAATATAATATTTTGAGTTAAAGTTACATACAAAATTATTCCTTGCTCAATTGTGGGTTTGTCTTGTGATGACTGATTTACCCTAGTAAATTTTTTAAGTTGACATCCTGGATATTTCTAGTCCTCCGATTCATGGTACAAAAAGAAATTACTTTGATTTGTAAGCAAAATTTTAATAAATCCATCGCAATTTTTTTATGGACCTTCTTTAGCTGGAAATCCCAGTCTATAATTATTTAATTTATTTTGAAGAGGGATATATATAGAAAAAAAATTGTTTTGATTGCTATAATTCGGAAATGTTTGATTTCACTGTTTGGTGCAGAATTCAACAACAGTATATATACATTTCATTGTTTTTCAGAATTTCAGTGTTTTGTTCTGAATTCGATTTACGGACGTTACAAGTAGATCTATCTGGGATAGCCACTTAAAGACAAATAGATAATTTAAGTTGGTGTATATATTATATTTTGTTCATTGTCACATAGATGTTAATTATAAAATATTTAACAATTTTTCAATGTTTAATTAGTGTTTAAAGTTCACTTGAGAACCTTCTGCTTTCTCTTTGAGGTTCAAAAGTGGTTTTATCAGTCTTTGTGTGTATATCAATGGACAAAATTATGAAGTCATTTTGGTAAAATCATATAGCTTAATTGACATTTATGAAGGTGACTTCATAATTTCTGGTTAATTTTTTCAGAAATGTCAGAAAGGTGCAGTGAGAAGCATAAAGTGCCTTTGATACACTTACATGGGCTAGAAAAAATCTCTTGTGAATTTATTAAAGGTTAATACCAGGACCATGTCTATAGTATATTTTTATAGCTGATGTGCTCTCTTTTGTAACATTTCATATTTAAAGGAAAATACCCCAAATTTTCTGTTATGGTTTAAAATTTTTCTTATCTGATTTTTGATGTACAAATTCCTATACATTTGAGAAGAGTTTTTTTCAATGAAAATATATTACTTAAATATGAAATAAATACTTGTAATACTGTAAGTGCCAGTAATAATTTGTACGGTACTTAATTAATTATGTCAAGATTTCATTCTTTGACATAAGTTATAGGCAATTGATCTCAATATGAAGATTTGATGTTTCTTCACTGACAGTACTGTACTCATTTACCTCTCTAAATGTTTTGTCTTCAATTTTTTTTTTTAGCTTTAAAGGGACAGGTTGGCCATTTTCGGAGCTTAAATTGTGTTTTGAATATATATGTTAATAGTCTTCAAAAGTACAAGAAATGTACAAAAATTGCATAATTCATTCAAAAATACCTTAAACTAGAAATTTCTATTTCTATATATGTATTTTCTATATATGGCAGAGTCTCAAGAAAAGACTAGTTGTCATTTTAATGTTCAAACGGGGATAATATTAGACCCACATGTATGTAAGGGCTCAAATTTTGCATTAAAAAAGTGCTCAAAGTGGGCTGTGAACACTTATACTGAAATTCCGTTTCCAAGACTACTGTACGATCAATCGGATGGCGAACCTGTCCCTTTAAAGTACTGCTTTTCTAAGCTTGTTGTTAATGGTATTTGACATATTTTTCAAAACATCTATTCTTTGTCAAAAATAAACTGTAATAAATCTTACCTTGATTAACATAATAGAATAATTTTAAATTATGTAAGCTTAATTCTTTATGTGAACGTGACAACACACTTTTAGACATTTGTGAACTATCTAAAGGATTTTTAACATGACACATATAGTCATGACAAATACCGAGGCATCAAAGCAGCTAACACATTATAAATCGCTAAAAATGGAAATTCATTCATTAATTTGATGAGCATTGTAGGATTTAAAATGTTTTGTATAGTACTATATATGACACAGAATTCGATTTCCTTGTATGATATTTGAAGATTTTAAAATATTATTTTTATACATTATATGCCATTTGTCAATTTTTGAAGGTTTGCTAATACTTACTGGTATGTCACAATTAAAAAAGAAATGTCCTGAAGGTTAACATTTATTTGTGATTCTTGTAAATTTCTGTGCAGTGAAAGATATTTTAAGAAATATAAATTTGTTAGTTGATTATTTAAAGGCATCTTGTTTAAATTTTCCAATTTCATTGTATTCTTTTCCTTGATCAAATCTATATGACCAGTTGAAAGTATCTAACCAAGACATTCTCTAAGTGTATAACATCTCCTCAGTAGTTTTGATTATCGTTTAAGGTACTAGAAACTAAGACTTAAACATTGAAATTCTTTAGTCAAGGCCAATTTGTTTATTTCTTACTTTACCTTACTAATTGTTGCACTTTAATGTTTTCAGACTGCTGCACTTAGTTAACAGCACCCCTTTGTGTTAATAGTATTGCCATACTATATTTTTTACTTTGGTTGCACATTGAATTACCCATTTGATAAAGTGTAATAACTAATTACTACACATAAGATTACCCATTCACCATTTATCGAGAGAATTTTAATGTGAACCCCAAAAAATAACTATATGATAAAAGCATATTTTGCCATTAGTGCAAGTATAAACAATTAGTATTAGTGGAATTGCAGGAATCACAGACATCTGATTGAAAATTGGAATGGTGCATGTTGATGCTATCAGTGTCCCCGATAACAAGAAAAAATTTAGAAAATCTCTTTACAATCTCTTTAACCTGTTCATTCTATATCAATGATTTTTTTGAGTGATATTTTCTTTGTTTGTGTCATAATTATGCAACTTATTATTTGACTGTTTTCCACTCCTTTTAAACTATATAAGTGTGTGCATATCTCAACTTGTTTTCAATTTTCTATTGCCAAAAATAAGATCCTCAAAAAGTTATATCTATTATTTTGTACAAATTGTGTGATGATGTAAATTAGGTTATGAAGATAAAAAATATTTATTTATTATGAATAGAGAAATTATCCCTTGTTTTATAAATGTATTATATTGCTTAAATATTATATCATAATATCTGTTATTAAATGTTGAAAATTTTGTGAAATAGAGAATTATTATATCTAATGGTGTTATTTATTAATCATTCATCTCCCTATGCTATAATAAAAATTTTTATCCCTTAATATTGAAGGAATTTTTTGATCAAGTAGGTTCCAAAAGTATGTTTGTGTGCATAACACAATTACAAGTAGAATTTATCAGTGAAATTTCTGCTGTGAAATCAAGTTTTTTAATAGGCACTGAATTTCATGGATTTTCATAAGGATTCCTATTTCTATCGGTTTCATTTCTAGTTTTGAAACAACAGAACTAATTTGATCAATATTTAATAGGGATTTGAATTTGTGAATTGACTATTCTATGAAATGCACTAAAATTGAGGCCAAGAATTTGATGATATCACAGAATTTATATCAAAAATAAATCGAGACAATTAAAATAAAAACTTTAATTTTATTTTTAATATTGACAATCATTATAACAAGAATTGCATGTCCTTTCATATTAACATGGTTATTGTTTGAGGGAATATGGATATAATTAGTTTTCAATATATTTGTTTCCAGACTGATACAGCTCAATTACAACTTCTACAGTATGTATTGGTTGAATTGTAGGGGAACCAAATATTGGATTTGAATTCTTAAAAGTTCTTCAGATAACTCTTATCAACTTAATAGCTAATATTAAGACAACAGTATCTCTTTTAACCAAAATAATGGAATGCGTGAACACATTTAAATTGCCTTATTTAGAAGCACCACCCTTTAATGGCTGCTTCCACATACTATGATAAAATAATTAACAGACAGGGTTATAATTTTGATAAGAGGTTACATTCATAGTATTGTCCTTTAAAATGCCCTATAAACCAGTGTCAAGACAAATGACGTATTTAAAATATTCAATGACATACAATTTGATTCAACAGTGCTAATCTAGCCCTTTTATGTGCATCAGACTTGAAGCTTCCATTCATGCATCTCCATTTCCTAAACCACTGTGTTGATCAATAGAGTTTCATGAAAACATGTTGAGATGCATCTTCACAATGGTCAAGGTATAGTGAACTTGATCTTATACCTTGACTGCAAGAGTCAATTTTCTTGTATCTCGGATTGCAGCCATTTGATTGGATTGTACATCAAATACAGCCAATCACAGACCTCGACAGAATATTTTTTTTTTCTGACGAGGACTCTAACTGTATTCGCTAATGTACAATCCATCCAAATCGCTGCATTTAAAGTTCCAAGTCAAGACGTTAATGTCAATAATACCATATTAAAATCAATGGTTTATACAACAGTCATATCCTCATCAGCGGCAGTGTGCACCAATTTACAGCTTAAATTTTGTTCTATTTATATCATAGTTGTAATGAAGAGTTGAAAATGAAGCTTTAGGTGTAGGAATTTTGACAATCACACTGTCACACATTTATAACTAAATCAAATTCATAAAGATTACTCTCTCTTTACTAAAAAAAATATAAAGAAAAATTGACTTCATAAATTAACAAGAACCCATATAGCAATAAATGGATTATGTCAAAATTCCTGCTTTTGGGAAGCTGGAACACACTTCCCCTTTAAATTATTTCTGGAATTACAGGAACCAGACATTGGACAGGAGATTGTAATCGAGGAAACTTTAAGGGCCAATGTAGTAACATACAAATGCTAGAAAGTCTGTTGAATCCACATAATAAATATAAATTTTGAGCAACAAAAATTCTCACAAATCAGAATAAATCGGTAACCCTGGATTAAAATATTCATATAATCAAGTATTGAAATAATCTTGGGGAAAAATTTAACAATTGTACATAAAGAATAGCTTGGATAAATAAAGGTGGTACTACAATTGAAAATTATTAAAAATAGTATGCAGTAAAGAATGAAAAAATATACTTTAAGTCAGCTGTTAACAAATGCACAATGGGAGAAAGTTACAGCAGCTAAACATAGTACAGAATATAAGATTTGTGACTCGCTGGCATCATAATTCGCAATCTTTCAACAGGACTAAAAACTGGGGTCCAAATACCAATCAGATTTCCACAAAATAAGGAAATGTTGATAAAGCTTGTACTATAGTTTGGAATGTGAGCCATTTAGTGTCTACCTTTGGATTTTTGGAATGCCGTCTTTTGAAATACATGTTATTTGAGGGAATGAAACAAGTTTGGAAACTAATTAGGAAAGCTTGAGCAAATCAAAACATCAATAACTGAAAAGATGTAAATAATAAATAAGTAAACATTATATTATGAGAAAATAAAAGAAATGAAGACAGTGTTCCATATAACATGGACGGAAAATATACAATAATAATAATAGATGGAATATAAGATAATAACAGATAAATATATATATATATATTAAGTATAATCATAATTTTGTATATATTTTGTATATAATACAAGAACAACCATTTATACAATAGGCATGGCATCAAGTACTGATGAAAAAAAAGTTATGATGCATAAAAACAATATTCTTTCAAATGCAATGGAATTCAGCCTTGTTATATGTAGTTTTACATATAGATCAGATCAGCATATATAATTAAATTTTTAGTAATCCATATGAACCACTCCAATAATACCTAAAGGCAGAGAGTCAAATTGTAAATATGTGTGCCCCATAACGGTTTGAATGACCCACTATTTGCAACAATTTTATGACATTTAATGCATATCATCAGAATAAATTACCTCATTGAGCACTTCTGATGATTTTTATGCAATTACTGTAATAAAAACCTGACTCTCTCTTTTGTCATTTTCATCAACTGCTATTTAAAAATTTAACCTCAATATCTGTTATTCCATTTCTCTGCAAAGTCACTTTTTTATGACAAAATTCTTGACTAACACATTGGTTATTTCTGTATAACATAAGATTAAATTTAAATTAATTAAGTAAATTATATAAGCAATGTTATAATTATAACCAGGTTATTTTTTGAGTGGTATTTAGTAATTGGAGAATAAATAACTGGACACAATTATATTAATATATCATCCTTAAAACTTAAAAAATTTAAGTAATTATTATCCATATAATTGTGTTTAGTTATAAATAGGTTATTATAAGATGGAAGATTTAGTCATATATTGAATGTAAAGAACCCTGAGCAAATGTTAGCTGCTGCAACACTGACTAGTTGTCTTCTCTTGATCTACATATTCAGCAACATTAAATTGTGGTTCATCTGGTTTTCTTGTTTTCTTCATTTTTAAATCTCTGAAAAATTAAGAATATAACATATAACTGTGTCAAGGGAAAGCTGGTTCTTACAGAGCACTAATCCTGATGCCACAAAGAGTGTCACACATCAACTGTGTCTGTCAACTCAGTATCTCTTTCAGTAATCTTCAGAGAAGCCAGCATTATTTATTTGGTATATTTCACCATTAGCAATAATTCTGTTGGTGGACTGTCCCCTGCATATCATTAAATCTACTAGCTTTAAGCTCTTGAGTTCATATCCAAAATCCTTTTAGAATTTGGGCTCCCATTGTGATAAGACTTTATCCCTTTTTTGGAAAATCAACATAGCTATTTACATTGTTTAATTGGGATATTTATTTCAAAACCAAAATTTTGTTAGCATTTCTGTCATCCCATCATTTACTCATGGCTTTACCAGATAGAAACATCTTTACTTCAGGGGAGGTAATCTTCTTCTGCCTGTCATCCAACTCACAGTATAAATACTTGAGTAGTTGTCAAACTCATGAAAAGCAACCTGCTCCTTTACCCAGCCACAAAGAATGGACAAAAATTAATCAACCATGCACTGTTTCATTACACCACTGTAATATTAAAACTAACCTTGCAACTGCCATGAAAGCTAATTCAACATTCATACCAGTTTTAGCACTAGTTTCCATAAAGGCCACACCATATTCCTGAAAATTAATTTCAATTTAAATGCAAATCTGGATATTTTATTGTATATTTTTTCTGCAGGTTGCTTCATTTGGTCGTAGTAAACTGCATAATAAACACAAGGTGAAACCATCCAGGCTTTCATTTCAACCAGATTGCATATACCATCTTGTAATTTTTGAAATTATCTGTCAAGGGAACATTATTAATCAGCCTATACGGTATTAGTCTTACTCTATAGATCATTTCTCATAAGCTCATCTTAAGGTAAATTTTATGAATTCATACATGGTTATTAGATTGTAACTTGTTTGCCTACTAGAAAACTACATGAACCAAACAAATACTAATGAAAACATTGCATTATACACTTGATGTCTTCATTATCTAAACTGTTTATATTCATAGCAATAAGTATAAATATTAATGTGTTAGGTCAGGGAATATAAATCATACCTTTGCTAATTTCTCACCATCTTCTCGACGTAACTGTCGTTCTCCAGCTACATCACATTTATTACCTAATAACATTATAACTACATCTTCTTGAGCATATTCATTAATTTCAGCTAACCAAGCCTACAATATATATCATTATATTAACATCTGATCTATGCATACTAAAATCAAATACTAGTGAAAAACATGCCTCGGACATATCAAACATTTGGCAATTAAAAAAAAAATATTCCATAAAACCTTTAAATTTAGTAGTTTGGTAGGTCCTTCTTAGATATTGCATTTGACTCACAAAGAAGTTCCGAAAAAAAGCTTACATTAGCATCAATAATGAATACTGGACAAAAAAAAGAGCAAATGCCAAAAATTGACAAATTTCAACTGCATTGATGATAAATCACCCACAAGAACATTTTGTAATCTTTTTGCAAAATGAATAATATATAAGTTTATGTTAACTTACCCTAATATTATCAAAACTGTTTTTATTGGTTACATCATACAGTAATAACAAGGCTAAAATAAAACACAATACATTTATTATTTCAAAAATTTAAATATGGCTTTAGTTTTTATGGCTGAAAATTACTGCAAAACAACTATTTCATAACAAATATTAATTACTATTTCAAATCTTTTGCGAAATTCATTCATCTGTAAAGAAAGGAATAAGATTGGAGGTAATTTTAAGATCTCAGATTATTTTTAAACCTTTGCTAATAAATCATATACACATATTGTTTTGTAAAAGTAGAAGAATGCATTGATTTACTTGGTAATTTTTAAAATACATGTCATGAATAAAAAAGAGAAGATTGATTTATTTTGAAGTTTGTGCATTCTCCCCCCTTTAAGTGAACAGAGAATAATTTCTGTTAGGTTGTAATATGTTTATGTATACAGTTAATAGGTTAAATCTAGAAAGGTGAGCATGGAATTTGGGAAAGAATTGTATATTTGATTATCACAAGGGTTTTATGGTTAATATCAAGAAAACTATGAAAATTGTATACATTCAGTTGAAAAGTAAGATTATTATAAATACAACTGAAAATTATTCAATTATTTAGAAGGATTTGTGTTAATTTCAAATATCTTTGAAAAATCTATAATATGTAGACATTTGAAAAGATTTTAGCAGATAACTCAACTTTTTATATACAAATGCACACAAATTTCAAATCTAATGATGTTTATGCTCAAGGACATAAATTAATAAGTATATTTCATATTAAGAGATTTAAAAAGATTAAAATGGGCAAGATTAGTCATAAATTATTTTATAGGCATATTTTCACTGTTCATGGGCAAAAGCAGGTGCTTTTCAAGTACAGTGCCACATCAACAAGCCTTTTCTCTGAACATTTTAAAGGGATTGTTCAATGGTCTTCTAAAAATTTGTGTGTGTATCAGGGATACCAATAGCATCAATTTGCATTCCAATTTTCAATCAGAGTCATGTTGTTCCTGCAATTCCACTATAACTAGGTGTTTGATGATGTCACTAATCGCAAAATATGCTTTATCTCATAAGGACTTCGCACTTAGTGACGTCATAAAACATAGTTTTAATTGCAGGAACCACAGACATCTGATCTAAAATTGGAATGGTGCAAATTGATGCTATTAGTGTCCCCAATACACATGAAATTTTTAGAAAACCTCTTTACAATCACATATATGAATTTCATTAGTTTCTTTAGTAATTAGAAAAATTCCTTCAAGAAAAATTAAGCGACTTTAGAGATTACAATACTTATTTGTTATTTGTTTAAATGGGTGTACACAAAACACATAATGACACAAATCCTTCCCTATAGTAATTATAGAGAATAATCAATCACTACAATCATAAAACATGCTTATCAACTATAATCAGCCAAAATTAGAAAATAGATGAATCAGAATAAAAAATCATCATTTGCACATAATATAATCATTAACCTATATTCTATAAATGATTGATTTTTTCATTACATTATACACTAAAGAAAATTACTATTTGACAAACTGATAAAAATGGCTTCTCATATGCAGAGTTATTCTGGTGCTTATTTTTTAACAAAAAGCTTTTTTTGTAAATTTATTTCATGGCCTGAATTCTAGTTTTTTTCCGAGGGATTTTGCTGACTGAAATATGTTTTATAGAAAGAGAAAGGGTAATGTCTCCATTGTTTAATATCTTAATAATTTAGGTAAGATTGTGCATGATATTTTGGAGCTTCATATAAACATCGTGTTGCCTATCTCAAAAACACAAGTTTAAGACAATAGTGCTGAGGATAAAAGTATTAATTTATATAAGTGCTGGTAAGAAGATTTCAAGGATAATTATTGATATTGACAAGCTTAATTCTAGTAATTCTACATGCTTTCAACCTTTTGCTTTTTGAATCATAGAAATTTTAAATTCATGATATAAGATAATGTAGCATCACAAAAAATTGTATAATCAATGATTTAGTAGACAGTTTAATCAAAATAAGACCAAACTTGGGTTGTGTTTTTATTAGCTTTGATTTTTAATATAGCCACTTCAGTTAGGGTCTAAAGACAGCCTTCTTGAACCTCCAATGCTAGGATTCTGTGCTGCAAATATAGGTGCATTCACAGTTTAATGCTTCTCAGAATAATAAATTTGATTGTAAAAAGCAGAGTCTTCAGTTAGTCCCTAACTGAAGTCGCTATATTAAAACAAAACAAATAAAAAAACAGAAAGAAAGTTTGGTTTAATTAGACTGTCTTAGAAAGAGAAATAAAAAGGATAAATTTAGAATTTTGGTCAGTTGTATCAGGCATTAACTGCTATAAAATGTAGAATTAGGCTTGAAATAGTCAATGAGAAAAATATCAAAAGCTTAAGACAAATTCATCAATACAGATCTACTACACCTAAAATATTTAAAATGTTACTGCCACCACAAAATTGATTAAAAAGCACAAAAGCAGGAATTACAATGTTAAAAAGTTAAAATTTGTAATGAGCATAAATGACACATAGTTATATATATAGTACCATGGGCGTCTCTGTAGTAAGCATGGGTTATGCTACGGAATCGTTCTTGTCCAGCAGTATCCCAAATCTGAAAGTACAAGTTTGCATCCTATATTCTCTACCTCTACAATAATTCCACCTCCACCTGTTTATCTACATGAAGACAAACAGAACATAATCACATTTCAATCATTTATATTCAACTGAACACATAGACGTGAAGTGTTCGAGTCAGTAGAAAAGTTTGAAATGTGATTATTTATCTAATGGTGCCCTCACACTATAGCGATAACCAGTGGTCACTCACAACTCAGTGACATGGGAGTTTCATTCAAAAATTATGACTGCTATTCTTATTCGCAACCATACAAAACTGGTGATTGCTATAGTGTGAAGGCTCCTTTACGTTTCTGATTTTAAACCCAACATACCGTTGGCATCACGATAGTATGCTCTAGTGATACTGCGAAATCGTTCTTGCCCGGCTGTGTCCCAAATCTGAAAAATAGCACAATTTCCTAAAGATTTGCTCAAGTTCAAATCTCTGGGATTTCTACAAATAATTTGAGGTCTACTTTAGTAACAGTACCAATAAGTCTCATAGAAACAGTGTCTTGAATTATAAACTATCATTGATATCAATCCACCATCTCTCATTAGAGTAACACTTGAAAATCACAAGAACTTCTTTCAAACCTCTCAAGTTAATTACCTTAGATTCTTGAGCCAACTATCTCAGACCCTTGATTTACAAATAAATTCACTTTTTCTACATATAAAACCAAAATTGATACACTGTGCAAATTTAAGGCACTAGTTGATAAAATTTATAATGCAATATTCTGATGCAAAATAGTAACGCACAATAATTTTGTTGGCTTCTCTTGTTCAATACTTTTGTTCCTATTTTCTATATATTCCTATATTTTCCTCATTACTTGTAATCATCTCCATATTCAAAACTAGATGTGGACATCAATATTTTATTTAAAAAAATCAGAAAATTTAACTTCCCAATAGATTTTTAATCTTTGGACCTTAGTTAGCTCAAAGTAGTAGACCTAACAGGGAAAAAAAGAAGCTAAAATAGGAATAGGCTCTATTGGAAATAAGCTCAAATAGGAAAACACCCATGAGAATTCATAAAACTAGATAAGACTTTATGGCATCACAATCAAAGGAGATTATTGGTCAACAGGAATGGTTTTCACATCAACAAGATTATTCTACCAGCAGATAATATATTATAGATATAAAATAATATAAAACTCTATTCTATAAAGCCTAATCTAACTGACTTACTCATATAATATCAATGTTGTTTTTAAATCTGTAATCAATAAATATAAAAAAGAAATAGTGTATTGATTAAGTATTTGTATTCCTTTTACCTGTAATTTTACTTTAGATCCATCTACTTCCACTACTTTATTCTGAAAACAACAATTTAAAAAAATAAGCTCAGTCATTCTTAGTGATTAGGCTTGATTCAATCATTAAGAAGTGAATAATATCATAATGAAATTGATAAGAAATTCAAAGAGATAGAAATTAACAGCATGAATATTTGGACTTTCAATATCAGTAAATTAGGCTAGAGAAAACATATCATGTGGCCTCATCTGAGAGGTTTTACTTATAAAGAATTTGGCATTTAGGTTTAATTTCACATACAAATAGTGGTCAATTTGTTGATAGTTAACATTTAAAGGGATTGTAAAGAGGTTTTCCTAAACTTTTAATGTCTATCTGGGACACTGATAGCATTGATTTGCACCATTCCACTTTTCAGTCAGACGTTAAGTCATTTTGGCAAAAGCTGTTAATATTATATAAGACCCTATGCCATAGAAATGTCAAAAAAAGCTTAATTTTAGTGGAATTTCAAGAACCACAGACATCTGATTGAAAATTGGAATGGAATGGTGTAAATCGATTCACATAAAGCGTTTACAAAACCTCTTTACTATCCCTTTAATGGAACTCAGTCGATTTTTCATACAGCCATGTGACACAAGCTTATTTCCTTTCAGTCCACAGTGACCCTAGAACTAATTTCCTTATATCACAAATAACTGGGATTAATAATAAGGAATGACCACAGACAACTCTAATGTGTCTGTGACCAATCAGAAAAGGTCAAATCAAGTAGCGTTTTAAAACCGCACGTCTGTCATAAAAGAGTTAATACAGAATTAAGCATTGGTCTATATTATATGTTTGCAAGGATTTCAGTTTATCTATTGAGCAGCGTTAGTTTTGTTCAATAGATATACATTTATTTGATAATTCAATGTTTGTTACAATAGCATTATTGGTGTGTAAACGCAATTGATCACATGACAAACTAAATAAATAATTAAATCATTTATGTATGTGTGTGGCGTGATCAATTGCGTTTACACACCAATAATGCTATTGAGAGCAACCTAAATGCTTTCTATATTCAGATATTTATTTCAATACAAACATTATCATTTTATACGAGCTGTTACTTTTTTTTCTTCACAAATCTCAGATTGAGTCATTGTGTTGCTTTGAGATGTATTCATACGCCATAATGTCAATTGAAAACCTACGATTTATTGAAAAATAGACGCCACTTTAACTGGTTTATAGATTTTTAGAAGGGAGGGATATCAGAATAGTGAAAATGACCAAATATGGCATATAACAAGTGGTCACCCACGATATATATTTATCTGTCAAATGGACTATAAACAAGGTATAAGACAGACAGTTATTATGATTAATACTAACAATGACAACAAACAGGATTCCCTTCTATGCTCTATAATACAGTTATAATAGAATTAATGATGATAAAGATGACATGAAAAGTTCATAACAGAATGAACTTATTAACTAGAATTTAAATGCTAAGAACTTAAGCATTAAATAAAGTAGCAGTAAATTTTGAATGCAAGAGTTTTAAGAACTTGGTTTCAAAGAAAGACAACTGCTGATTTGTGGGATTTTTGTTTCCTTTCATGGAGTGCAGTTTGGTTACAACATATTGCTTTGTTCCTAGAAAGGTATATTAAATTAAACAAGCTCAACTCAATTAGACCTGTGTTAAATAAATAAAAAAATAAGAGTATAAAATCATTACAAACATCAACATATAAGGATAAATATAATATAGATTATATCAGAACTCAATTATACAAGTATAGTAAGCTTTATAGTCTATTACAACATATAAAATAATATACAAAAATAAATTAATTAATGAACCAGTTAAATGCCATATAAAAAGGTCAAATATAATTCATCAATGAATTTATCACATAGACTAATTCAATATAACATACTTACTATTAGAATCAATTTTACTGTCTAACAATTTAACAGTATATTAAACTGAATTTTGTTAATCTTACCCTAAAATCAATGCCCACAGTTGAGATAAAACTGCCTGATAGAAACGTTCCATCTTTAAATCTGACCAGTAAACATGTTTTACCAACACCACTGTCACCAATTAACATAACCTGAAATAAAAATTAAATATATTTTTACAGGAATACTTTTAGAGAATGAACAGAAATTTAAATCCTGAGGTCATAACTCTACAACTGAATATCTCCATTCATTATTCCAGTTAACTCAGCTGTAAAATGGGTATGGATTATCCAGGAAAGACAAATGTCAAGAGGTTTGGTTTCTACCAGCTGGTCCTTAATTGTGAACCTTAGTTGTTATCCTTGTAAATTATAGAGTTTTTAAAAAATTGTTCCCATAAATTCATAAAACAAAGTAATTATTGAAAGAACTTAACCAATTTTAAGCATTTTTATTTAAGCAAGTTTTATAGATAATTTCAAGGGTATATCAGCTTATGGAAAGATACTATTGTATAGTTTTGACACCAGGTAACTCCACTGATGAATATAATATACTCTTATTGCCCAAGTCTGAGAATTTAAATTTTACGTCCATTCTTATTCTAAGAGGTGAAATTCCTTACAGTGAACATCATAATATAATGCGTAAATTTTGAAATTCGTATTTCTTGTTAAATTGAACGCTGAAGTTTCATTGTCAACGATTATTTTCAAAAATCTTGAGACAACGCTCACTTTTAAACACTGTTTGAAACTAATAGTACAATAAGTCCAAAATCTGCATAACAAATTTGTAGAATTATGTTATTTTAGTCTATAATAGTCAATTTAACCTTAATAATGTTATTCAATCAATCAAATTTTTTCATGAATAATGCAAGACCAAATAAAGCAATGTTTATGAGTTGGTCCCAGGTGCATAATGAATGACATGACATTGAGAAACTATTAAACCTCTTCTGAAGAATATTGAGAAAGACTTGTGAACTCTTATTATTATGGAGGAATTTTAGATATAGACAGATTTATGAATCTATGTTAAAACATTTCTAGTAGTGATATTTATATGATTTGTGTTTCAAGCTGCTTTCTCACAGAATAAGCTTACATGTATTTCTACAAAAATGAAATATGGTTCCTCATGGTAGAACAGTCTGCAATCATTTGATAACTTTTTCACAAGCTCATTACTTTGATATTATGCAGTGTAGCAGACAAGATTTTGTCTAAAGCAATGAATCATAAATGCCCATTACCATTTTCAAGGTAACATTGGCCACGCTGAATATTTGTGAAGTTCTGATATGAAACGAAAACTATACAGAAATGAGTATCAAGAATAGTTCTTCATTTAGAACATATTCTTTATCACCTCACTTTGAAACATTTTTTTACACCTGCGAGTTTAAGCGTTAAATAGACCAAAATTACCCCATTGTATCTTAAATCCTTAATTTTTAATCTGAGTATTTTTCTAAAAGTCAGACTGAAAATGATACAAGCTAATGTAATCTAACAACATAAGCTTATTATTCAAAATGATCTTAATCCGAAGTATCTAGACTTTCCATACCCTAAAATATCATCTGTCAACAATTTTCATTTTTCTGCATCTTAGGTCCTCTAAGCCTCATATCAAAATAAAAATTGCTGTAACATTGTCTCAGAATATATGACAAAAAATGATTAATATTGGTTTATCTCGATACTGTACCTGGTATTTAAAACTTAAAATATTGGAACAAGAAATTGTTAAGTAAGAGAGTTACATCATAATAAAGACGACACAGCATTAAATGTCGCCTACATATTATAGCTCTACTTTTTACACTCAATATTTAATGTGTCGTTGACATTCAATATTCTGTCTTTAACATAAAAAGCAATGTTATAAGATCTTTTAATTTCCAACAGAACACCTCCAGAGGTTTTATAATTACATTTTCTTTTATCAAACCTAGTGGCTCAAGAAAACAAAGTTTGAAAAATAATCCAGTCAAAATCTACTTAAAATATTATCAAAAGCTTATCTTTTATTGTAAAGTTGGAAGTGAAAAGTATAAGCTCACAGTCATCTACTTATATTTAAAATCTGAAGTACAGATATATGCATTTTTTATAAATAAGAGATGACAGTTGAATTTCATCAACATGACCTTTTTTTGCTTTTCTGCAAATCAGACGTCAGACTTTCATTCTGAAGAATTCTTTAATTATTTTAGTGCAGCACCTTTAACAGCTCCTAGGAATTCAGACTAGTTCAATATGAACTGAAACTTAGCAATTAACAACATACCCTTGCAGACACTTTACAATGGTTATCTTTTGTCACTGCTATTATCTAAAGCTAATGTCTTCAATCAGACCCTAGCATTTTTAGAATACCAGTACTATTCCTATCGAGTATGATAGCTATCAAAACTATTACATTAATATTAGGTGTATGACAATTCAAGTTTGATTTTCAAGATGATCAGGATTTGCAAAATTTGGTCCATAAGTGAGGCCTTTTTTTAGTAAAAAGCACAATAAGCTTCATCAATAAATTCATTATAACAGCTTGCACAAAAAAAAAGCTTTTATAAATGATTCATTATTACATCAGTGGTAAGCTTTCACATTACCAATGCCAATGAATAATTTAAATATTGAGATATTCACTTAATAGTTATAATTTCCAATGGACCAAAAACAGCAACCAGTATGACCTACAGATCAATAACATCTTTCACTGCATGCTTTAATTCCTTTGTAGCCTACTTACTTTTAACTGATATCAATTCTTGATAAATTTCAAACCAAACTCTACACAAAATAAGCTTATTGTTACAAATCATAACATCTTTCTAATCAGGTGTAAACAACCATGTCAATCTAATCACTTGAATCACAAAGAATTGAGATGATTGAATTTATCCATGGGATACAGTAGTTATTAATAGTAGAAGTAGAACAGGACGTACCTTACAAGATAAATCATAAAGTTCAGATGAACACTGCCTAGATGCCTGTCTATGAAGATGGCTGTTACCTTGAAATGATGAGTGCCCATTCATTCCCCCACCAGCTTGCCCCCCACCATTTTGACGAAAATCTGTTCCATTTGCATTTAAAGTTTTGTCCTTTCCCATGTTTTATATTGATGCCAGGCACAATGACATAAGGCACTGCGTGTTGTAGTAGATTATATCAACGGTCAAACATGAAACAATTACATTTCCCCCGTTTTACACGAGATTTTACCATGCCATTCGGTTCAAAGCTTCTGTTTGTTGACAAAAAACGATTTTCTACAATCTGTCAGTGTCGAGTTCCGGTTGTTGTCTTCAATGGATTTACCTCCCTTGACTATCTTTCCTTTTGTATTTTGTATGGTGGGGTATTTTTGTCACAAAGAAGATTAGTTGCCTAACAAGAAGAGAGGTCAATCCGAAAAAAATGTAACGCTTCAAAGACAAAATCCAAAATGAGACATGATGAAAAACGTGCTCACCAATAACAGACCTATTCTACTCCTAACATAGACTATTTTAAAGAAAGCTAGGTGTATTCAAAGATAAACGCTGATAGATAGCCTTCGCCGTAAGATAGTCTACTTTATATTTCTAACTGTCCCTCCCTGAAACGACTGTGCGATAAAACCGCAGACTGCGGATGGGCCTATTCTCAGAGTTTCTCAAACTAGGCCTTGGTTTACTAGCTGTAGTTTGATGTTGAAAAATCAAACTAGATGAGTATAGAAATTATCCCATCAAGTCAGATAAGGTTCGTCAAGAAGTACATTGAATGTACTGGAATCTACGGATATTTTAAAGTCAAGGTAGGCCTACGATTAGGCCTAGCCTAAATAGTCTTGTTGAAATGATTTTTTTTTATTTTAGAAATCACGCCTAGGCCTACTTAAGATAATTGTTTGATTTGTTGTGTTCCGTGAACTGTAAAATTTACATAAAGATATACCTAAGCAATACACTTTGGTGCAAAAATTTTGAGTGACACTAGCGCAACATTGAACTCCCTTTAAATAATTTTTAATGGGCTACAAAATTTCCTGTCAAAATAACATTTCATATATAGGTTACAACATTGTTCAAATAATATTTAATAGGTTACAACAATGATCCGTTCAAATAATATTTAATAGGTTACAACAATGATCCGTTTAAATAATATTTAATGGACTGAAATTGTTCCGTTATAAATAACATTTAACAGTTTAAAACATTGTCTGTTAAAATAATATTCATTGGGTTACATGGGTTACAAAATTATTCCGTTAAAATAGTATTTAATGGGTTACAAAATTGTTTCGTTCCAATATTATTTAACAGGTTACAACATTGTTCCGTATGTGTAGTCGGTTGCGTGGGTTACAAAATTGTTCGATTAAAATAATATAGATTACAAACTTAAAACCGGTTTATTTCATTACCATTACCATTACCTGAAATTCTATACCATTACTATCCATATTGTCTCTCTTTATTACACTTAAACGTTGAAATCTCACTTCTGACTTGTCAACAGACGATCATTATTGGTCGAATATTCTCATCATATTTTTTTTATCGCGACCTGATCATGTATTATTCATCTTAATATCTTATATAGTTCAGTGTATATTTTGGATTGGATTGACAAGACTTCAATTTCTAAATGGTGTAATATGAAACGTATTGCCTTTGACTGAACTTCTTAAAGCTCATTTACAAATTAGTTATCTTTAAGAAAAATATCAAAGAAGATAAGAAGATTATATCTAGGTGTTCATAACTCATCAATAGTGATTTTTGCCAAATATAATAAAATAAGGCAACGTTTGGCGATCTCTAAAATCCTTGAACAGCAGCTATGGTCCGTTTAATCTAAAAATAGCTGGAACCATTGAATATCATCTTACAATATGAATATTTAATTAGTATTATTATGTTTTTTTAGATGTTATTGGCGAGATCTAACTGAAATCTTCAACATTGATACCAAATTTTTCAAAATTTTAATTTGATTAGTAACGTTTTATATACGTTTTATTCAAAGGGAAACAATTCTCTGCAATTTTATTTGACCACTGAGGCTAGTTATGAAATGCTTTTAAATCAAATTCTAGTCGTTAATGATAATTGGTGACATATCGTTTTTTGCTGCGGAAGACAGCAGTCCATAATCTATAATAAGTCTTCGGGAGTACTGTAATTCGAAACATTGCACGGAGGTACAATGAGTACCTCTCAATTTAAGGTAATATCCCTACGACTACTTTAAAATCTTCCCTTGATGAACCCACTGCCGTCTGAAATAATCCCATGGCCCCGGTCTTCTCCATGTTCGATCCCCGTCCAAACGTTTCGTACCCAAGTCAAACATAATCTCAACCTTATTGTTCCTCTACCAACATTCGTGATGAGTACTCCCGCGTCATCACACTTCCGTTTTCCTTCTTCAACCTGAATCTCTTTAACGTCAAGGATCCATTGTCTTTCTTGATCTCCTCTCCTCCGTCCCTTCACTAGAATTTTTTTCTGCATTTCTGCCAATCTTCACTTTGTACCCCTCTTTCGATCTTACTTTACTCTACCTGTTACTTCTCTTCTTTCACTTATACTTCTGGAATCAATTTAAGCGGCCTCACAATTCTCGAGATAAAATTTGGGATCCAATTCACTTACTGATATACAGATTCATGAACATAATACACAAAATATGTTATCTTTGTAGGTCTAATTGTTGCATGGCCCTAAGTCTAAAAACGGATTGATATTCGAGTTGTAGGCCTCATTCCTGTAAAATATGGTTGGTTTTTTTTTTTAGATAATTTGGGTGTAGGTGTATCTTGTACCGGTATATAAAATTATATTCTACCTTTATTTAAATACAGTCAAGCTTTACAACAGCTCTGTTAAATAACTGTTTTTAGAAGCGTTGGTCATTTGCAACGTTTAGATACATAATCGCACAGTGTTCAATCCAAGAAAAGGTTTACCTAAAAATAATTTTCAACTACTTCGAGCTAACGTATTATATAATCCCTTAAAGAATTAAACTACAGTCAGCACTAATGCAATAGTATTCAGCAATTCTAATACAATTAAATTTGTCATGCAAAACGGCAAAAAGTCATTAACACTGGATCTTAAAATAAAATCAGTCTTAATCAATAACAGAAACCTCTTTATACTAGCAACACGTCAACACAATTCACAACTCATTAATAAAATGTCACAAGTTTAGTATCAGTAATAAAGTGAGAATCAGAATGGAATTAAAGAATAATAATTCTGACTTTATAGATGTCCACCTAAAATACAAATTTGGCGATATTCCGCTTTCCTTAAATTCACATTAAAACGAAGGGCGATTTACGTAGCATCTAGAAAAAAGATTAGGGAGAGTTGACAAAGCCAGTAGTCTGAGATGCATCAAGCCTTAGCAAACAACAAAATTATTGAAAAAACTGGATATTTTTATAGAAATAAATATACCAAAAATAAACTATCTTAGATGTGTGAACTCTCCATGGATGCCAAAATGGAGTTGACAAACCCAGTAACAGAGTGACACCAGTCATTCAAAAAAGGTGAGCACAATGACTCTTTAGTTTCACCCGTCTTAGTGCTTATTTCAACAGAGTTCAAATTCAATAAAGTCGTTTGACTTGGAATAAAGAGCTTAAACCTCGTATATTGCTACCCCATTTCGTTCCAAAAAGCGCCGCTAAGGTATAATTTTATTTTCAATAAGATTTTCTATGAACATTATGAACAAATATCAAGCTTAATAACCTTTTCTTCAACTTTCATCATTAACAAGTTGTATATTATTTTCCAATGTATTATAACAATAAGCCGATGATCTCTTTGAGAGAAAATATATGGAGTTGAGAAATAACAGAATTATAACTACTCCTACACAGTGTGACAACTGTACTGAAATAATGGAAGTGACTGATAACATATCTTAATAATTAATTCATTTACACTATGTCATTTATCATTAGACGTTAACATTGATATTCACATCCAATTTCAATTACAGTTACCCTATATTTCTATATAGATGATCATTTATTTCCAATTTATCTTCATATTAAACCCAAAATACGTTAAGGTATACTACCATTAGGATGACCAAAAAATGAGTCTTTGTTCATCAGTAGACTTTGAAAACTATTCGAATCTCTCTATAATCCAATAAATCCATAAAACTAAGTAATAATTCAATAAACATAGTAATTTTGAAACATGTCATGACACCTGGAAAGTCAATTGATCAATATATACGCTTGAGGTGCGGGCACACGCGTAGTCTTGGTCGGAAATTTTTGTTGCCGATTAGAGTCTTCAGTAAAATCTCGCGTGTGCCCGTGCTACCACAAGATTATCGCGTTCCCGACAGGATTTATAGTATCAAACAGGTTTGATATTTGTCTCCGATGGTTTTATCATCTGCAAGACAGACGGTCATCATCAGATTCATTTTCGACAATGTGGAAAACGATCAATTGGAGATTTTTGTCTCTTCGTGTGCCGGTGCCAGTCGGCGAAACTCCTGACAAGACACTAGTATGCGACCAAAATCTCTGACCAAGACCTCTCGTGTGCCCTCACCTTAATTGTCCAAGTTTGAGACTTTAAATTTTATGTCCATTCTAAGATATAGTCTTTTAAGCTTCGTTGAATTACTATCAAGAGTCAATCGCATGTTACTGGAGATTCTCTAGGAATGGACTTCAGTCAAAACCATCCAAATCTGACAATATGGAATACTAATTTTTTTTCAGAAGTTGTTCCAAGTATATGAAAAATATTTCACTAAAATGTCTAAGTTCTCAGATTCCGAACGCTACGGTCGTAGACAACACTCAACTTTTGCTATAAGGTATGACAAGAGCAACCGGTGCGCTCAGATCGATTAAATCCACCGACTGATCATATCTTCTGGTAGATAGCTCTAAGATTCTGCCTGTCGCAAGGTCGAAACGAGCTTCCCAATAGACAATCTGTATTGCTCAATAGATCTGACATATATTGCTTATTGCATATTTGGTAGAGTTTCATCACCGTTATCAAGAAAGTTGTTATTTCTATGATCTTAAATGAAAATTTCATTACAGTAGAAGCTCCGAGATTGAACTAGGACACCTACCACCAACTCTGAATTAAGTCTGGAAATCTGAAGAAAGGGACACTAAAACTATTTCCGACAAACGTTTCTATCATGAGATTGGATTTGTATAAGGTTTATAAAGAAATGACGGGTGAGAATTTATGTTTAGAGT